TCCAGGTCCGAAACACCTTGCCTTTCAGACCTGCCAATCAATCTATACTATTGTCTTTTCCAGAGGTGTCTTCACATCATGCATAACAATACCGTGTTCATAAAAAATTTCTCTTAATTAATGCATTTCAGTTTGACCTGCCTTAACACGTATAGGATTATTTCTCAAGATGTGTATTGAAGCCATTTCTCCGTTTACTTCTATGGTCAAATGTGTGCTGTATTCACACAGGAAAAGAGTTTGAACCCAAAGGGGAAAAAAAAAAAAAGCATTTGAAGTTTTTAGTGTTCAACTCAGTCACGCTCTCTGTTCCTGTTGACTCACAGTCCTTATTTAACCTATTTACATAACCTTGCAAAATGCTAACCATGCCTGTAGGGCCTTACACTCTAAATTATAAACATATCAGATCGCTAATTCCGTGGCTGGATTATATGATAGAGCAAATAAGCAGGTGTTTAGAGAATCAACAAAGGATTTTTTTTTTTTTTTAGAAAGAAGCATGTGACGTCAGCATGCATGTAGTTTAGTGTTTTAAGACTAATCTTGTGCTTATTTAAAATTAGATGTTGAGGGGTGCCTGGGCGGCTCAGTCGGTTAAGCGTCCGACTTCAGGTCACGATCTCACGGTTTGTGGGTTCGAGCCCCGCGTCAGGCTCTGTGCTAACAGCTAGCTCAGAGCCTGGAGGCTGCTTCTGATTCTGTGTCTCCTTTTCTCTCTCACCCTCCCCTGCTCACGCTGTCTGTCTCTCTATCTCTCAGAAATAAATAAAACATTAAAATTTTTTTAAAAAAATAAAATAAAATAGACGTTGGGGATCACTGTAATACTTTCAGTGTTCTACTCCTTTAAGGACTATGATCAACCTCTGGATAATTCTCATTTCAATAGTGTTCTCGATTACCTCACAGGGCTGATACGTAGTCAAGCAGAAAAAGGAGTTGTAGCATGACTACAAATATTTAGAATTCCAGGATACAGGCATAACTATGTCTGTTCCTGAGCACTAGCTGCATGCCGGGCGCAGTGCTATCTTCTATAAAGGTTTTTTCTCTTTTAAACCCAAACAGATACTTTATGGAGTAGGGCTCTTATTAGCCCGATTTTTTATTTTTTTAATTTAAATTTATTTTAATCTTTATTTTTAAAAGAGAGAGAGAGAGAGAAAGACCAAGCAGAGGACTGGCAGAGAGGGAGGGAGACACAGAATCCAAAGCAGGCTCCAGGCTCAGAGCTGTCAGTGCAGAGCCTGACGCAGGGCTCCAACTCACCAACTGTGAGATCATGACCTGAGCCGAAGTCGGACGCTTAACCGACTGAGCCACTCAGGCTCTCCTAACCCCATTTTTTAAAATGAGAAACATGAGGTTTTGGACAATTTCGTTAAGGTCACATAACATATTTTATAGCCATTAAAAAAGGTCTCTAAGTTATTTTATGACATGGGAAAAAGTTAAATCAGGAATAAAACTAAATATATCTCATGATCCAAAATATTTTATTAGGTCTGTGTGTCTGTGCGTGCAAATCTGAAGGAAAAAAAGTACATCAAAATATGAAACAGCAGTTTTGCTGGGTGGTAGAATTATGAGGTTCTCTTACTTTCTTAATTTTATTCAAAATGTTTAAATTTGCTATAGCGAACCTGTACCTCTATTGTAAGTTTTTAAATAACCATAAGGATTTGTATGACAACTTCCTGGTATGTATGAAAAAGATGTGTGTGGTACAAAATCTAAGTTCCCAGAATAGGTCAAGTATCCCTTATATATGTTTTTCCATTACTCATAGTTACTAAGTCACCAAGACCGATGCTGGAAAAGACCGCTGGACCGTCCAAGGCCAAGTATCAAGGCAATCCATTACAAGAGAACTCAGTAAAATAAATCTAATAAAGGGACTTGAGAACTGTCACCACCACATAATGGTATTTCCTTCTTGCAGGAAGTAAACACAAAAAGAGGCCATGACTATAGTTCATTTTTAAAAACACATGGTGAAGTCTCAGTGTCTCTCTTCCAAAAAACGAAGCGCATATCTGCATTGAGAACTGAGAACATCTGCCAATCCCGTTCTTAGGTCTCTTGTTCTTAAAGACTGCTTACTTCTTTTGGGCTGTATTTCTTTACAAATAAATTGTAGAGAGGCTTTCACCCTTGTACACCAAACAAGGCAAAAGAAAGTTATAACTGGGTATTATATTTTGCTGGGAGCTGCACCGGCCTCTCTGGATGATGATCACTGCAGGAAAATGGCAGTGTTTGAACAGCTCCTGCCTTGAGAAACGAAAACTGGTATCTCCTTCTGCTACTACTGGCTCACGTTGGAAATAAGCCTGCTGGTATTGACTAGGCCTCACAATATTCCATATCAGACCGATATTCCAAACACAGATAGCTCATAAGGAAAAGCATATTCCTGCCTTTACAAAAGAGATTTTAGATGAAAGCTCTGTGGATGGTTGTCAAAAGCCTCTTCCTATGGGCCTTGCAGGTCAAAGACAATTAAGCCTGGCCCTGAGACAAAGAGCTTAATTTAAAGTTAAGGTACAGATAAGGGCAGAACATAAGTTACTACATATATCTTTGCTAATTGGTGATGCATAGCAGTCCCTTCCTCAAGGCCTACATTCCACAAACCCCCTCCCTTACACTGGCAGCTGGGATGAGGATAGATAAGAGTAGCTAAAACATAAACCCAGATGCAAAGACTGACACATTTATGGCTCCCATGGTGCCTGCACATTCAGCATCAAGGAAAAGGCTTGCTCAAGCAACTTAGGAACAAGCCTAATATACATTCTTCCTCTTGTGATTAAAAATTGTCTAGAGGCCTACCCATGCAAAATAAATAAGTTTGTTAGTATCTTAATCTGGGGGACTGACGTCAAGAATATGGGGAGGTTCTGCAAGAATACTTTTGTAAAGCCTGTTTCTGTACACCTTCTGCTGATCAAAGCATCTTATTACAAATAATAAGTCCCTGTAAACATTCTGTCTTCTGATGTCATGTTACTGTTGAACGTTTAAATAAAGACACCAAAACCGACAGGACAGAGATGCCTGCCTGGTGATCAGAAAGAATCTCAGGGCACTCTCACTCTCTCGCCGACACTGTCCATCTTTCAGGGACCCCTGGACCTGCTGGAGCTGGCCTCCGGTAGTATTTTTTAACTCAAGGAAGGAGATAAAAGTCATTAGATGTCCATCTCATTGGTTTCCCTCTTTTGAAACACTCCCTTGGTTTTCTCCCAAGAACAGAGGCTAAAATCCTTTGCTTTCCACTCACTATGCATGTGATGCCAATTCTGCATTCCAGGGTTATTCGTCCATCAAAAAATCCTAGTTGTGGATGAAGGCTAGAAAGGGGGAGAATAACATCTGGGTTTTGCTTGGCATTGCACTTCATAGAGAATAAGAGAGAGTAAAACTCTTTTCCAATTTCTGATAATATACTGTAATATCTGCATCATTGTGAAGAAAAGGGCAGTCTTGCCCTGAATGGAAAGGTATCATTGACTTTCCTCAATCTTAAAACAGTTTTGTAAGTTCTAGAATCATACTAGAAGATTCTGGAAACCAAGAAGATCAATATGGCAGGTGGTACAAAACAGTAGGAGAAAATATAGAGTGTAGGTGATACGTGGGATACATTATGTTTGATAAACATTTGACAGACAGTGTTTGATAAATGTTTATCAAATGGATGAAGATGTACTAGCTTCATCGTGGTTCCTAATGATCATGGACCCAGTGAGGTCCCAACATGTATGATAAGCTCACTTCCCCACAATCTACCCATAATCCTTAGGAAGGGGCTGGTAGAGCAAAGCGTAAGTTCCAGTAAAGTCTACTAGGTTAAATTGAGGGCTCTAGCCCTGAAATGTTAGGCAGCGAGGTTGACCTGAAACCTCTTCTTGTTAACTCATCCACTGAGGAGTGAAGATAGCAAAGGCCGACCCCCTGTGGCAACGAGGGGAACTATATCTCACCATATGATAACGTTCTGAGTCTGCAAATATATTTCCACACCTGGCCAGTATGGGCACTGGCTCTGGCACTTATAGTGATTCGTCAAGATAAGAAAACATAGTTCAGGTCGAGGTATTGTTAACACGACCCCCTCGATATAGTTTACACTACGTGCTACTCTCAGAAGCCAAAGGAGATAATTCAAAGAGTGTGTCGAATTGCAGTTTTTCAGTTTTCAAATGAATGGCGAAGCTCTGCAGAAAAGTAAATCTGGTTTTCACATATGTTGGTCATAATTTATTTTTTATTCCTTGTAGAAAAAAATAAAAGGTGCAGTCTGGTTGGTTGGTTGGTTAGTTTGCTGGCCCTCTCAAATTTTCCCTATGGCTTTGATCATTATTTATAGAAATAATGATACAGAACTAAATCATACCAATCAGAAACTCCCCAGTCCAAGACTAGTCTCTAAATCATCCTCAAACAGCTTTGGAAATGGCATTTGCTGTTTCAGATGCTTGTTCAGGTAGTATTATGGAAATATTTTTGCCAGCTCTCTGGAGACCAAAAGGGTTAAATTTTCTAAAATTGATTAACTTAAACCAAAAGGGTATATAGGCGCAATAAAAATCCAGTGTATTTTTCAGTGTATACAAAGATTGAACTTTAGAATATCCTGTCTAAATTCTTTCTTCTACCATGAGCGTTTGTTCCCAAAGTACATTGTTTTAAGAGGTACAGACTTTCAGTTATAAAATATGTAAGTCATGGAGATGCCACGCACAGCACAGGGAATATAGTCAATAATATTGTAATAATTTTGTATGGTGACAGATGGAAATTAGAGTAAAAAAACGAAAAGTGCATTGCCTACATTGCCTTTAGGAGATGAAGTCCTTGGGCGATGGTTTGTCATGTCTCATCATTTTTCTTATGAAGTCGATCAAGAACAAGAGTGTCATCCACATTGTAAATTTGGCAACACATATACACCAATTCTCTAATCTTATTACTACACGGTACAAAATGAACCAAGTAGAAATAAGCACTAGCTTTATTTACTCATTTGCATTATAATCGAATGAGGTGAGAAGCCCTGTATCGCAACAGATAATTCCATTTCTTACATCGTAGTAACACTTCTCATGCAGACAACACAGTTTTTGTTTCACAGAGCAACTGCTGTAAGTTAAATTGATTCAATTTAATTAATAAGCATATACTCAGTGCCTTCCTGTGCACTGCACTATCCTAGGCATACAAATGAGTTAAAAGATATGATCCTTGCTCATAGGGAGCTTACAATCTGGATAGGAAAGGTGATGCATGCATACAGGAAACAGTAAAGAACTGTTTAAAAAAATCACAGGAAAATCTGTATAAATAATAGACTCTGAAAAAGACATTAGGGCCCAAAGAAATCTATCAAGGTTGGGAATGGAAGCTAATCTGGAAAACTGGGCCAGAGGAAGGAAATCTTGGATTTGTGTCATGGCAGTGATAGGCACACAGACTGGCAGAAGAACAGGGCATCATTTTTATGGCCAGAAGAAGAGTGAAAAGAAGGAAAAACTCAAGGATGGCTAATAAAAACCAGCAAGTCAGTTGCAGGGAATGACAGGCAAATTGGCTTAGCTCTGGAACAGGACACTGTGGGTTAGCATATGGACAGCAATGCTGGCAGAGGGCATTGATTCCTGCTATTCAAAGCCAATTCAAACTTTTAACAAGTAATAATGCTTAAACACATCTATAAACTAAAGCCCCTCATAAAAGTGTGTGTTTTCCTAATCTTAAACAAAAAAGCAAAGACAGATTGCTGAATATTAGAATCTAAACTCAAGAGATGTGATCATTGGAGGTCTTGATTAGGCTGCGATGGAATTATAATCATGCACAATGCCTTTTTTGAAAACTTTATAAAGAGGTGTGTTGTCTAAGATGATGTACCTCCTCAAGATGAGGGACCTTCAATCCAACGCTAATCAGACCCCTACTCGAGTCCCTTAGGATTTTTCTTTTAAAAAGTCTATTCCTTTTCATACTGAATCCAGCAGCTAATGAAAAATCTTGGGTTTATACTCATGGGGGCCCTGGATGGGGAGGCAGAAAAAAAATGGAAAAACAAGATATTGGTTTCAAAATGTGAGTTAATAATAACAGTGAATACTTTATAAAGATATTTCTGAACTTTGGGGGGTGGGGGGGAAGGAGTGAAGTATTTCTGTTTCCAGGCAAAGAAAACTAAGGCAGAAGTATTTAAGAAGAAAATACATATACACAAAGTTTTTTCAAATTAAACCAACAGGTAAACCAGTAACCTGTATTGCTGAATCACATCCTCTTTTTAAATTCCATTTGTTAGAAGAAAAGCCAGGGAAATGAGTTAGAGGGAAAAGAGTGGTGCAAGAACAAATCCCTGGGTTTGGAACAAGTTGAAGGTCCTTCCTGCTGAACTAAGACTGGTGATCCCTTGATTGACCAGCTTGACCTTGACAAATACATCAGAGTGAGAATAGAGGGGAACAGCAACTTCACAATGCTTGTGTTCTTGCCCCTTACAGAAGTCCTTGGTTTTGAACTTCAAGGTGAGGAGTACTTCTGGACCCCCAGCATACGTGTGAAAGCTACTGGCCACCAGCAGCTGCAGCTGTTCAAAAGAGAGAGAGAAAGAGAAGATGAAGAACCAATACATTAACACGTAGCTCTCAGGGGTACCTGGGTGGCTCAGCCAGTTGAGCGTTAGTTCAACTTCGGCTTAGGTCATGATCTCGGGTTTCGTGAGTTCAAGCTTCACGTCGGGCTCTCTGCTGTCAGTGTGGAGCCCACTTCAGATCCTCTCTCCCAGCCCCTTTCCTGCTCATGCTCTTTCTCTCAAAAATCAATAAGTATTTTAAAAAATATTTAGCTTTCAGTGTGCTTGATGTTCTGAATGAGGCTATCTGAAATCTGTCTATACCAAATGTATTCCATGTTGCCATAATATTTAGCATTTTTATATTCAAAATATTTCTTTATTTCTTATTTTACGGGGGAGTGAAAGTTCTGCTCTTTTTATATTTAGTACTGTTTTTATAATTAATATAAAATGTGTTCTTTTTAAATTTTTCAAATGAAAGAGATCCTCATTGGCCAGTAGAAATCCGGCAGCCATTTACTGAATGATTGTTATATCATAAAGTTCTGTATTAAGTTCTGAGGAAACAACTATGAATAAGATAGTCTGCCTTTATGAAGGTTGTATATGTTTTTAAGTACAAATTATGGGAAAACATAAAATAAATAGCATGCTGTAGTATTATATCTTTAAAACAGTGAAGATAAAAGTAATCTTTAACTAGAACTCAGATCTTAAATGTCAGAACTTTTGGTTCCCATTCTTTTATTTTTTGTATGATATTTTTTAAAAATATTAATTTTTGAGAGAGAGAGAGCACATGAGAGTCAGGGTGGGGAACAGACAACGTGGGGGACAGAGGATCCAAAGCATACCTTTCACTGACAGCCACAAGCCCAACACGGGCCTCACACTCACAAACCATGAGATCATGACCTGAGTCGAAGTCGGACGCTTTTTTTTTCTTATTTCTAGGAGAGAGAGAGCGTGAGCAGGGGAGGGTCAGAGAGAGAGGGAGTGACAGACTCAGAAATAGGCTCCAGGCTCTGAGCTGGCAGTCAGCACAGAGCCCGACGCGGGGCTCGAACCCACGAACCGCGAGATCATGACCTAAGCGAAAGTCGGACGCTTAACCGACTAGGCCACCTAGGTGCCCCGTCATTCATCATTCTAAACACGAATTTGGTAATGTTAGTTACAGTCACAATCTATAGTCAACACAAGAGCAGTGTAGATATGTGTGACATACATGCTTCTAACTCAAAGGTGTCCACAAAGGGCTCACCTCAGCTTTAAGGACACACATGAACTGATAGCAAGAGAATGGAAAGGGATATTCTGTGCAAATGGAAACCAGAAGAGGGCATAGCTATACTTATTTCAGACAAAATATATTTTAAGCCAAACGCAGTAGTAACAAGAGACAAAGAAGGTCATTTATAATGATTAAAGAAGACACAAATAAGTGGAGAGATATTGCATGTTAATGGATATTGGTAGAAAGAATATTGTGAAATTGTCCATACCGCCCAAAGCAATCTACAGGTTTAATGCAACCATTCTCAAAATCCCAATGGCACATTGAAAGAAATAGAAAAAAAAAAACAAAAAACAAAAAACAGTCCTTATATTCAATGGAACTACAAAAAGACCCCTAATAGCCAAAGCAATCTTGAGAAGGGACAAAGTGAGGGACATCATACTTCCTGATTTCAAACTATATTACAAAGCTATAGTAGTTAAATAGTATGGCATTGGCATTAAAGTAGATGATAAGATCACTGGAACAGAATAGAGTAACAAGAAATAAACATATGCATATGTGGTCAGTTAGTTTTTGAAAAAGTACCAAGGATATACAGTGAAGAATGAATATTCTTTTCAATAAATTGTGCTGGGAAAACTGGATATCCACATGAAAAAGAAAGAAACTGAATCCCTATCTTACAACATACACAAAAGTTAATGCAAAATGATTAAAGACTTGAATATAAGACCTTAAACCATAAAACCCCCAGAAGAAAACCTAGGAAAAAGCCTCCTTCCCCTTGGTCTTGGCAATGATTTTTGTATTTGACCCCAAAAACAAAGGCAGCAAATGCAAAAATAAACATTAAACTAAAAAGCTTTGACACAGAGGCGCCTGGGTGACTCAGTCGGTTAAGCGTCTGACTTTGGCTCAGGTCATGATCTCACAGTTTGTGGGTTTGAGCCCCACGTCGGGCTCTGTGCTGACGGCTAGCTCAGAGCCTGGAGCCTGTCTTCGGATTCTGTGTCTCCCTCTCTCTCTGACCCTCCCCTGCTCATGCTGTCTCTATTTCTCTCTCAAAAATAAATAAAACATTAAAATAATTTTTAAAAAATAAAAAATAATAAAAAGCTTCTACACAGCAAAGGAAATCATCAATAAAATGAACAGGCAACCTATGGAATGGGAGAAAATATATATCTGCAAACCACATATTTGAGAAAGGGTTAATATCCAAAATAGACAAGGAAATCATACCACTAAACAACATAAAAACCAAACAACCTAATTTAAAGTAGGCAAAGGACCTGAATAGACATTTATTCAAAGAAGACATAGAAATGGCCAGTATCTCTATAGTTTATGAAAAGATGCTCGGCATCACCACCAGGAAAATGCAAACCCAAACCACAATGAGATAACACCCCAGGCCATTAGGATGTCTTTTATCAAAAAGGCAAGGGGCAGCCATTGTTGGTGAGGATGTGGAGAGAAGGGAACCCTTGTGTACTGTTGGTGGGAATGAAAACTGGTACAACCAGTATGGAAAACAGTGTGAAAGTTCCTCAAGAAATTAAAAATAAAACTATCATATGATCCAGCAATCCCACTTCTGGCTATATATCCAAAGGAAATGAAATCATTAATTTGTATTCCCATGTTCATTGCAGCATTTAAGGATGGAAACAACCTAAGAATCTATCTATGGAGGAATGGATAAGGAAAATGTGATATAGATGGATAGATAGGTAGGTGGATTATAGGTAGATGATAGATAGATTGACAGATAGATAGATAGATAGATAGATAGATAGATAGATAGATAGATAATAAATAGATAGAGATGTATAATTAATAATTTTATTCAGTCTTATAAAAGAAGGAAATCTTGCCATTTACAACAATGTGGATAAACCTGAAAGGCATTATGCTAAGTGAAATAAGCTAGACAGAGGAAGGCAAACAATACATGGTGTCACTTTTATGAGGAATCAAAAAAATAAAAAAGGCAAACTCATGAAAAACAGAGCAGGATGGTAACCCAGGAGCTTGGGAGTGGGGGAAATAGGGAGAGGTTCATGAAAGGGTACAAATTTTTGGTTGTAAAATGAATAAGTTTTGAGGCTGTAATGCATAACATGGTGAACTATAATTGATGATGCTGTACTGTATAAATTGCAATTTGCTAAGAGAGTAGAACTTAAGTGGTCACACACACACACAGGTAAGTATGTGAGGTCATGGAGGTGTTAATGAATTCAGTGGTGGAAATTCTTTCATAATGTATGTGCATATCAAATCGTCACATCCAGGGCGCCTGCGAGACTCAAGTCTGTTAAGAGTCCAACTTCGCTCAGATCATGATCTCACGGTTTGTGGGTTCAAGCCCCACGTTGGGCTCTGTGCTGACAGCTAGCTCAGAGCTTGGATCTTGCTTCAGATTCTGTATCTCCCTCTCTTTCTGTATCTCCCCTGCTCGTGTTCTGTCTCTCTCTGTCTCTACAATAAATACACTATTAAAAAGGTATTAAAAAATTGTCACATCCTACACTTTAAATGTTTTACAATTTGTCACAGCTGAAAAAAATGTTAAATGAAATTAAAAAAACAAGTAGCTTTATAGTGGAAAAACCATCTAAGACAAATGTAATTTAAAGACATAGTACTGGAAATTGCTACCTCTGCTCCTGTTGCCATAACGGTCAGCTGACATGGAAGGAGAGCAGTGTGGAAAGAACCACAGAGAAATGGGGCTCAGCCCTGCTCGCTTCTAAATGTGGGGTAAAACTTGGACTGAAGCCATACACATCACTCTCCTGTTCATGTGTGTGGACTAATGAATTTTTTTTCCTACTTAAACCAATTTGGGTTGAGTTTTAGTACTTACAAGGGAGAAAGACCTAGTAATAGAAAGAGTTTTAAAGTTAAGAATGAGGGAAAAGTTTGCAAAAATGTTCCCTGAACTTCTTAGACGTCACTTTCCCACATGGAATGCAGAACATATCAGGAATTTTGGCAAATAAGGATATGCCTTCTTCTAATGGTTTACAAGTTAAGAAGGCTCCAAAAAAAGAGAGTAATGAATTAGAAAAGGCTCTGGAAAACCAACAGTGGTGAGCTCAGAAGAGGCCAGTGCTATCTTCCTGGTGTATCCATCTATGTATAAGAATGGTCCCAGGGAGCAGGAGAGCTTCTGCATTTCTGTCTACTCTTTGTATATGACTATGTGGATGTCGTCTTCATCTTCTGTCAATTTGCAAAGTCACCTTTCTATTACTGCCGCTGAGTTCTCATTTCTCAATTTTTCTTTCTCCTGCCTTGTCTCCACTGGAAAACAAGTATCCTCCTGGAGATGATGCTTGAGAAACTCTCCAAAGGCGAGCAGCAAACATTGCAGAATGACTCACTCAGGGCAGTAATGCTATCCTGCATCAAATGCCCATTTGGAAAGAAAGAAAAGGGGGAACATTTGATCCATAGGGGGGAAACCTGGCAATCACAAACGTTTCTCCCACCTGCTCGGGCAGCTGCCATTTTCTTGTTGCGCAATTTGTTCTCCAAAGCTTGCTACACGATACAAAAAGGAGAGAAGAACATAAGATTTCCTGGCGTTTCCTACTACTCAACATGAATAAAGGCAAGACTTTTATGAAATAAATTGTCTCCTACCTGTTTCATCTTCTTTTTTAGATCCAGATTTGCTGCCTTCTGGCCCTTTGCAGTAGCATTGAGATAATAGATGGTCAGACTGCATTTTGAAAAATAATAAAATATATGGTATTTTTCAGTTCAAGATTCTCCTTAAATTTACATTCACCAAATCATAGAATATAGATAAAAGACTGAAGTAGACAGAGGTAAAAAGGTGCACTCGGAACATGGTTAGTAGGGCTGGACCTAGGAAGGCAGGACCCAAGGATCCTCTTCCACAGCCCATCCTTCTCCCATACCTCACTGCCTAATTGTAGCTTCTTCCTGGAAAGGTATTAACATCAGTTCAAATTGTAATTAAAAATAACATTCCGAGTTGACACCAATGGCATCCAAGAGAATGGAAAATCTACTGCGGCTTAGGGAATGTGTAGAATAAAAAAGAAATGGACTTTCTGCCTTAAATTCCCTCCTTTGGCTTTTACAGCAAATAATATAATCCTCATAAGTCATAGTCAGTTAACATGGATTTTATCCCCTAGGGTGTATTATTTGCATTTCTCCCTTCTTTGAAAATAACATGTTTTATAAAGGAATATCCTTGGCTTTTAACTGACATTTACATTTCTAGAAAGAGCAAATTCCAGCCAAACATTTGTGTAAAAATAAATATGTTCATCTTCGCTTAAAGCAAAACAAACAAACAAAATGCATTTTAAAAAAGGTAACTGGCATTGCTCTTTGTTGCAAATAACTGGATACTAAACACACTTCCTCTACTCCCCAACCATGCCAGATTATATCCCTTTATGAGCCATCTGGTGCTAGCAACACAATTATTGATACGGTTTAGCTGAGTTTGTTTATCTCTTGGTCGAGTGATGGGAATTCAAATGAAATTACATACATGAAAGCATTTGGCATATACTATTTGACATGAAGTAGGTGCTTAATAAATGTGTGTGTTTGTGTGTGTGTGCGTGTGTGTGTGTGTTAAGGATTTTTTTTAGAAAAGTGCCTGGATTCAGAGGGTGAACTCAAAGACCTCACAAGTCATTTGCGGTTCTGAAATTCTCTGTTTATTTGCCACTATTTCTGTCTTGTGATGCACCTTAAATAAGTATTCTTTACAAATCATTTTCTGGTCTCCAAAAAGAATGAACATGGCTGTAGAGAACTAACTTGAATTCTACTCAGTTCAAATCATCCAAGCTGATTTCATGTGAGCCATTGGGGGAAATTCAAAATGTCTGTAACATGTAACATTCTCTAATTAAAGGTAATAAACAGCCAAGCCAATTGTATGAGCCCCATAAACTAGAAGATGAGATCCCAGGATTTGAAAAGTCAAATCAGCAATAAACTAAAGTTGGATTTTACATCAGAACCTCAGGACCACTATCAACCTTGCAGGGTATCCTTTTGACCTGGATGCTTCCAGCTTTCCTCGACACCGTCTGTATCAGGGTTGGCAAACCATAGTCTCCGGGGCAGCACGGACTCCCAGCCTGTTTTGCATGGCCCGTGAACTAAGAATGGCTTTGACATTTTTAACCAGTTATGTAAGTCCTTACATAATATCCTCAGCTTTACCTTTTGGCCCATCCAACCTAACATATCTACTATTTTGCCCCTTTAGAAAAAAATGTGCTGACCCTGAGTGTAGACCATCCCTGACAAGTGGCTTCTAGCCCTTCTGTATAGTCCACTTATTCCAAACTCACTGTTGGGTGCTTCAAATAACTAAGGGAAACAAGAGATGGGGAATAAGACATGGGCTTGAATATACTTATCAGCCATTTGATTTGGGGCATATCTTCCATGTGATATCAATAATATGATTAATGAGGCCAACCTGTTAAGGTTACTGTGGAAATGAAATGATGAATATAGAGGCAGTGCCTGGAACACAGGAATATTAGCCTCTCTTCCACACTCTAGAGACAACTTATTTAATCTTTAATTACTGGCATTAGAACAATGTTGCTCCTGGGGCACCTGGGTGGCTCAGTCAGTTAAGCGTCTGACTTCAGCTCAGGTCATGAGCTCACAGTTCATGGGTTCGAGCCCTTCGTTGGGCTTTGTGCTGACAGCTAGCTCAGAGCCTGGAGGCTGTCTTTGGATTCTCTGTCTCCCTCTCTCTCTGACCCTCCCCTGCTTGCACTATCTCTCTTTGTCTCTCAAAAATAAGTAAAAAACATCAAAAACATTTTAAAAAAGAACAATGTTCCTCCTTCATTTAGAAATAAATCTGTCTCTCAATAAGTTAAGACTATAGTCATAAAATCTGACATTAACTTTGATCAGCTTTTATTTCTTTAATACAAGATCTCATTTATAACACTAAAGGACCTTGACTTTTAAAAAACCACATAATACTTAACATCGTCCCACAAGCCACCGTATCACGAAAACTTGGAAAAGAAACATCACTCCGAGGGCCATCTGGTGAAACAGGCTGCTTCCAGCAGGTCATTTTCTAACATATCTGCATCAGAGATTCGCTATCAGATTCTGAATGTCAGCAAACAATCAAGAGTCTCTAATATACAAGAATAATCTGCTTTACTGTTTAATTATTCCCATAGGCTATTAGCTCTCCTTCAAAACAGGGGTCATAGTATAAAGGGGCAGAAGTTGGATTTACTGTCAAAGTCCTACTATTACCATTTTGCTATGTACTCTTACCTGGGGAAAATCACCTCGTCCCTCTAACTCGGTGCCTTAATAAAACTGAAGATGAAACCTGTCTTCTCTGATGTGGTCCTCACCCTGATCATCACAAAGTAGATGGTAACAAATTGGCCCAGAACCCAGCTCATTGATTCCAAGTCATTGGGATTTCTCTCCCTGAGATTTCCCAGTTTTACCTTTTTAAAAACAAATCGAACCCTGTGCCTCAGCTTTATTTCTAAAGTGTTTCTGAGGGTGGTTCATGCATGCTTGCTCTCCTTGACTGAGGGCAGTGACAGTTCCAGACAGTTCCAGACAGTTCCAGACTTTCTATTTAGGAGGGCCTCGGGGTTTGGAAGGAAGGACCAGGGTGCTTTTCCTAGTTCTTCGATAGCAGACATATATTTTTCATTAGAATGCAAGTTTATCTCTGTGCTGGGCAAGAGTCAGAAGCCAATGACAGTTATATGCAAACAACCCCCCCCCCCTCCCAAATTCTCTTTTGGATATCACCTCTGACTTTTGAAGGGTTAGACTAAGTAAGTGAGTCTTCCAAGACCCTTCTGGTCCTCTGATTCTATGATCATGGGCCCACACTTAATGATGGCCTTTGAAGAACAAGGACACAATGATTTTTACGATCCCTTAAACCCTTAGCCCTAAAATACAGCCTATAGGGTCCCCAAAGGGAATAGTAACTTAGAGACTCATCATTTCTGTGTATTCACAGCCATCTGCTTTATGGAACAAGAGGTGGGGGCCAGGAGATCTGGGCGGGGAGCTCAATGTGCTGATTAGATTTAGCATTTAGCATTTATGTTTCCCTTGCTTTAGCTGTTTACTGATCATTATTTTGGTTACTTGGGAACAAATCTTATAATCCTAGGCAGGCAAAGACAGATGCAGGTGGCTGGGAATTACATCCAATAGGATCAGAATATGGCTCATGAATTTCAGGCTCTCACCACCATGTAATCAGCACTGAATTTGGTGAGGCTACAGCATAACCCTTGGAGCGTGGGAGAAAGCTAAGAAAGCTGGAAATGAAAAGGAGCCAGGAAAGACATTACAGAGGCTCTTCCTATGAGGGGGGAAGCACATACGCCATAACCAAAACGACCGCAATAACCAGTCCGGGGTTAGAAAGCTGTCTCAAGATCTTTGCCATCCAGCTTGGGAAATCGTGCTCCAGTGTTTCCCCAATGACTTCGAACATCCTATTTTTGCCACTGAAAAAAAAAAAGAGGGATGGGGGGTGGGGGAGAGAAATTCATTTAAAACATATGTAAAAACCATGGTTACAGCAAGGAAATGAGACATCTTCCTCAAACACCACCTAAGTACTGTCTCAGATTGGGAACCTAATCTGTTTAGCCACAACTCCGGAAACTTCACTTGTTATTATCAACATATAGGCAAGACGTCAGAACTCTTATTCTTATGCAAACACACAGTGGAGCAGTTAGGAAATGAACCGCAATGTTAGGAGAAGATTTTTTTTTAAAGCTGTATGCCTAAGATTTTGATTGAAATATATTTTATAAATAACTTGTAAGTCTACCCCTCAGCCAGCTGTCCTTGTTGGAGAATAGTCCCTTTGGACTGTATAAATAGTGCACTCAATTGTTGAATTAGCCTTGGAAATAAACATAAGGAATAGATTGACAGAAAAAAGTCCACAGATAATCCAGTATCTCTCCCCATGCAAGAGCTGCTATCTCATTTTCCACAGGGCTCTTTCATCAGAGGTATTAACAGGTAGCCACACTGAAGGGGGAGTCCTTTCTCTCACTATATTTCTTGTGGGCAGGCTCTAATGACTGCCAACTCAGTCCCACTGCTGAGAACAGACGATGGAAAGAGAGCGAAAGTAAGCCTAAGGAGCCAAAGTCCTTAATGGGTTTGTTCTCAACCCACTGAGGTAAGAATCAGCCCCTATAAACTAGAAAAATGAGGGCTGGATGCCTGTCTTAATATGTAATATTCAGAATTATTAAGTAATACCCATCATGTCAAGTTATTTTTTCTGTATATGCATATTGATTCTACTATGAAAAGCTGTAATTTTCAGAAAAGAGATGAGGTTAATTACCACCAAGTTCTACGTATCACCAGGATAAAGGCTGGTGTAACACTTAATATAATAATATAATATTTTTCTTTCAAACACTTGATATATTTTTGTTTCACTATCGTTTATTGATCTTCATACATTTTCAACTGCTAGACAAACATAACCCACAGGTTCCAGATGAGATTTTTTTTTTTTTTTTTTTTTTTTTTTTTTTTTTTTTTTTTTTTTTTTTTTTTTTTTGCCTCTGACCTAACTAATAATGTCTTTCAAAAGACTGAGAGTAACTCCAAATATGTGGTCAAGGGTTGCTGGACTGCCGAGGTGGTAAGTTTTGCTTCACAAATTAAAGATCTGCACCCAGCAAGACCTGTGATATATTAAGGGAGAATGGAGTTTACAGACAATTCAAGATTGTTATCAATTTATTTTTCTAGGGCTTCTTCATCCTCATCCATTCTGACTGGCCATGCTTTCTTCCCAGCCACAGGGGATACAGCTAGGGTAAGAAGGTAAGCCCAGACAAGAGAAGGTAAGACACTCTGCTCTCCAGCTTTTTAGGCTGAAGCTGACGGACATGAATAGGGGAGCTGGAATTTTACAAAATGCTCCCCACCCACAAAGGTCTTCTCTGCATTCAGTGTGTCCCAGAGTAGAAGTCATTGGTATCTCTGGGGATTCTACTCTTCCCAGGTCTGGTGTTTTTAACCAAGAGTCCAGATCTCTTATATACAAGCTAACGAAGTATCTACAATCCCTGGTAATCTTTTTTTCTGACAGTTAGCCAAAGTGCGCCACTTCTGGTCCTTTCCGGTCTGCTGTGTCTCTACAGTCAAATGAAATGATACTGCACTTCAGCTTCTATGGGTGTGGCCGCACCCACCCTGGATGGTCTATGAGCAGACCTGTCTTCCCCCTAGACTGAAAGTTTCCCAGGACCAGAACCAGTGTCCAATCTACTCCTACATCTCTTCTAATGCTTAGTTTACAATAAGCAGCCATTATTCTTTCGTTACTTCAAGTTACTGTGTTTGGACTCACAGACATAAAAATATTCTTTTTTAAAAATATTTTTTAAAGTCTTTTTATTATGACAGAGATAGAAAGTGAGAGGGGGGAGGCAGGGAGAGAGAGAGAGAGAGAGAGAGAGAGAACCCCCAGCAGGCTCTGAAGTGTTAGTGCAGAGCCCGATGTGGGGCTTGAACTCACAAACCATGAGATCATGACCTGAGCTGAATTTGGACACTTAACTGATTGAGCCACCCAGGTCCCTCCAGACATGAAAATATTCTATCCGCAATCTCTAGAAGTCAGCCACATTATTAAAAGAATAAGCACGTAAGTTATAATAGCAAATAAATAATGCAATAGCAATGTCACAATTTAAAAGAAAACTAAAAATAAATATAAAAGTCTCACAATATAATATGTCTCCACTTATTGTATGACCTCAGTTATTTTAAAAATCAGCATAAAAATAAAACCAGAACACAAAATTCTGAAATGTTGAAACATGGAGGGTTGTTATTTCAGGTCTTTGGGGTTATGAATAGTGTTTATTTTTATGGAGAAATGTTTCTATAATTTCCAGGTTTTCTAGGAGAAACACAGAATACCTTTGCAGTAAGATGAAAATACATAAAAATATAATTACCATAATGCTAGTAGGAAGGTATGTGAGAACCTAGAGAATTATAAATTGTTCAGAATTATCAGTGAGATGTTGGAGGAGAAGCATCGTGTCAGCAAATATAGTGGAGCAATGAGAATTTTCTTCATGTGGATACAAACAAGTAGTTTTGAAATTGTTGAGCTGTGTAAGGTGGATCCACTTAATAGCCTATTGGAATAGTTTTCTGAAAATTCACCCTCCCAAATCAGGTCTTATAAAATCAGGACAAGATGGAATACCTCATCAAATTTCTTACAGAATTCTTTGTTTTTCCTTAAGTTTTATTTTAGAGAGAGAGAGTGAGAGAGGGCCAGAGCAGGGAGGGGCAGAGAGAGAAAGACACAGAGAGAGAGAGAATCTTAAACCAGTTGTGGATGACCCTGGGGTCATGCCCTGGGCTGAAATCAAGAGTTGGACGCTCAACCAACTAAGCCATCCAGGCGCCCCACAGAATGGGGGGTATTGTAAGGTATTGTAACCCCCTTGCCTAAAACATGCCTGTACCTGGGAGTGATCAAGCATCACTATGCTACTGGGTGGGCGTGGCCATCATTAACCTACCGCAAATGCGTGGTCACTGCCCACCCAAGGGCCAAGTGGGGTCAGACCCCCCTCACGAGGCAGGCTGAGAAAACCATCCCAAACTCAGGACCCTTGAGAACGCCAAGCCATGAAGATCCTAATACACGCTGTCTCATCTCATTTCTAGGGCAGAGCAACCCTTTCAAACGTTTAAGTCCAAACAAATACATGAAGTATGCATTCTTTTGCTCCAAAATGAATAAACTGACAGGAGAAGTAGGCTGTTTAAATAAGATAGAGATACCCCTTTCCTGACATGCTACTGAAAGTATTTAAATTTTCTTGATCTCAAAATAGTAATATATATGTAGTAATTTTGCCTACATCTGTCAATCAGGAAACACTTGGTTAAAATCAGATACTATGCCTTAGATACAGACTCTTTTTTTTTTTTTTCATTAAAATCATAGTAACTCTATGTGATATAAAGAGAGGCAGAGAGTTAGGCTCAAAAAGCTAAAATTGTGTGGCCATTGTGCCTGGCTAGCTCAGTATTTTTCACAGGAATGACCTCTGTGTGACCACCATCTGACTCCATGCAGACATTGTGAAGTTTCCCTTCGGTTGATACATTTTCTCAGAAGGATTGACTTCCAATTAGAAAGTTCAAAGCACATCTAAAACTCATCCAGGATCCTTAGTTGTGCGGGCAATTTGCAATTAACTAAAGTCTTTGAATGGCTTATCTGTTGAACTTTGTACCCTGAGATTCATTAGGAATTTATTAAGACCAAGCTATTCTTCAAGACTGCAATTTCATATTTAGTCTCCAGATGTCACTGTCTGCATTATTTATTTCAGCCCACTGTGGGGGTGGGGGTGGGGGTGATCAGGATTTGTCAGCATCAGCTTCCTAAATGACAGAACTCCAGATGTTTTTGCTCTATCAGCTGGCTTAACATGTTTTCTTTTTCTTCCCCCTGCCCTGCCCAGGAAAGCAATAATAACTCAACCTATTATTAGAATGAAACGCCTCTTTTATACTTAGGTCTGTGGGCAACAAAACTTTTGATTTTAATAACTTGCGTCAGACAGCATGACGGGGAAATTACATGTGGCCATTATTGCCTCATACTTGTTATTCACGTGGATTTTCATGTTCACATTTCTTTAACTTGAAAAGGAGAAATAACTCAAATGCAGGCTGACCAGTGACTCAATAGGCAGAGATTCTTGCGGTTGAGGGGGAGGAACTTGTGGTAGATTCATTTTTGAGGCCCTATTTGGGGAATGAAATCTCAATCCCCCAGATCCCGGAGACTCAACTTTCTTTTCTTTTCTTTTTTTTAATTTTTTTTAATGTTTTATTTATTTCTAGGAGAGAGAGAGAGAGACAGCGTGAGCAGGGGAGGGTCAGAGAGAGAGGGAGTGACAGACTCTGAAACAAGCTCCAGGCTCTGAGCTGGCAGTCAGCACAGAGCCCGACACGGGCCTCGAACCCACGAACCGCGAGATCATGACCTAAGCGAAAGTCGGACGCTTAACCAACTAAGCCACCCAGGCGCCCCTCAACTTTCTTGATAAGTGTCACCGTCAGCACTCTTGTCATAGAGAACAGGAGAAAAGTATGTTTCAGCTTGGATCAGAGAGACTTCTTGACTCTTTATTGCTGACTTGAGCGATCTGTCCTTGTTCTTTGGGGGAGAATATACATGATAAACATCACCCTCAATTGCTTTGCTAGCATGGAGCATTTTGGATTATAAGTTGTGTGACCCACTCTATATTCACAGTTATCTAATAATGACCCAATTTCCTAGGGAGCTTGTGGAAAAATCTACTTTCAATTAATTAATTATTTTCTATTGGACATGGCGTAGCAATAACTTCTGCTTTTTGGACATGGTGGCCCAGCATCTGGAAAATGTCCCACATCCCGACTATTGTAATGAAAACTTGCTCTTTGCTATCCCCTTATGGCTCAGATTTACTGTCCATATTTACGCAGGTAGAGCCTGGTGCACTCCAATCCTTTTCTCTTTTATGATTCCCAAATAAGAAAATCGATGGAACTTGCCTAAGGATCTCCATGTTACCTAATGAGCCTGGAAGCTCAAAGAATCTCATTTCTACAGACCAAAATACCATAGTTCAGGGGAAAAAAAGAAAAGGCTCATAGGAGTGGCCATTTCTATCTCCACGCCTGGAAGAAAATGACAGCCAAATGGAATTTCAAAGGCAAGAACCTGAAGGGGCCACAATCAAAAGATGGCGGGAGGGATACGATCATGTACAGCACAGGCATGGTGGACAAGAACAAGATGAGCAATAGCATGCCCAGGTAGAAATTGTTCGATCTGGAAGCTTTGAAGACCCTGGCCTCAGGAACGTTGCAACACATCACGGCCCAGCACTGGAAGTACATGGATGTGTGGAGTCGAAGGATGTTGATGCCTGGGAGGCTGGGGGCGAAGAAGGAGCCCATCCTGGAAAGAAAAACATGGCTCTGCTCAGTTCAAGTCTTCTCTTCATAACAAAGCCACACAGCACCTGCTTATTCCACATCACATTTACTTCTTTTATTTTTTTTAATTTTTTTAATGTTTTATTTATTTTTAGGAGAGAGAGAGAGACAGCGTGAGCAGGGGAGGGTCAGAGAGAGAGGGAGTCACAGACTGAAACAGGCTCCAGGCTCCGAGCTGGCAGTCAGCACAGAGCCCGACGCGGGGCTCGAACCCACGAACCGCGAGATCATGACCTAAGCGAAAGTCGGACGCTTAACCGACTAAGCCACCCAGGCGCCCCACATCACATCTACTTCTAAAGGGAGAAAATGTAGTGCCGCTTTCAACCACACAAACTCTTTTTATCAATAACCCTGACTACTCAATTTCCATCTTCTATGCACAGCTTACCATCTTTCCGATTATCACAGGGCTGCATACATGATCCACAGCAATTATGCTGTTCACGAACTATATCTGTTATCATTAATAAATTTAAACTACACCAGAGAATATATTACATATATTTACTTCTCTCTTCTACTTCTAAAATAAACTTGATTTCCCCTAATGCTCAAATCATCAATTAATAAATCTAAAAATTTAACTTCTTTTTAATAAATTACCCTTAAATTACCACTCATTCTATTCAAATAAACTACACATCTGGATTAATTACTTTTCTTGTGGGCTAATTAAGTTTTGCTTAATGGAAGAGAAAAATTAAAATGAATTTTTCTTTTTCTGAGGCCGTTGTATATTAGCTATGTAGCTATTGTGTTTTAGAGCTGATGTATGTATGCCCAATAATAGACCGTGTTTTGTTGATAATCTATAGGAAGCTTTATGTGTTTGAGATGAAAAGTCAACACATCCATTTAATTTAATTTAATCTGTTTACCTCCTTACTTCAGTTTGTCCTGGAAATCCACCACTTTGCATATCTGACTTTTAAAAACTATTTTTAAATGCCACTTTTAAACAGGAAGCACTTAGGTGAGGTCACTTTTACTTGATGGCTTAGTTGGTTATTTTCAACAAAATAAATTTCACTTTTCTTTGATGAGAAAATCCATTAGTATCATAAAACCGTATTAATAGCAATGTATTGGGCTCAAACCAGAAAAGGGATACATGTGCACTTATTTTCGAAGGATAAGCAGAGTCCTATCTTTCCAACTGTCCCAGCTATAATAAAGCCCTCAGCAGTTCTAGTTAGGGTCACATTTATATTTCTTGAATGTAGAGAGGCTGTTTTAACCAATCCAATATAAATTTGGTATATTATGTTGGTGGGGGGAGGGGCAGGAGAACAGTTAGATGAAGAAATTCATTTCTGCTATTTCTTTAATTGAAATGATGCAAACCAGCATTGAAGTATTTCACTTAAAGGAGGGATCTTCCCCAAATCTGGGATTTCTTGTTGATAAGATTTTATACAACAGCTCTGAATGATATTTTAACATACCGAATAGACCAGAGACCCTGAAGAAAGATAAACTGTTTTTTTTAATTTTTTAATGTTTTATTTATTTCAGAGAGAGAGAGAGACAGTGTGAGCAAGGGAGGGTCAGAGATAGAGGGAGATACAGAATCTGAAACAGGCTCCAGGCTCTGAGCTGGCTGCCAGCACAGAGCCCCACACGGGGCTCGAACCCATCAACTGTGAAATCATGACCGGAGCCGAAGCCGGAGGATTAACCGACTGAGCCCCCCAGGCGGCCCAAGATAAACTATTTTTTTAAATGGTATGGACTTCAGGCGATGATATATCCCTGTAGGTTCATCAGTTATAACACAAATACCACTGCGGCGTGAGATGTCAACAGTGGGGGAGGCTGTGTGGGGGAGGGCATGGGGGTTTGGGGGAACCCCACACACCCCCAGTTTTTTCTGTGAGCCCCAAACTTCTCTATAATATAAATTTTATGAATTAAAAAAAAAAGTAAGAAGATAGACCTTGGAACAATATAAAGTGTCTTTGTCGCAGGACAGCCAGAGAGACCCCAGAGCTTCAAAAATGTGAGCGAATGAGTGGCAGTCTCGGGTCAGGGGCCACAATTACCCAGCACAACACTATAGTCTCAGATGCCAATATTAGTCATGTAAGATGCTCGTGAATGATGATGCAAGCTCTCTTCTAAAAGCCAGGCTTGGCCGCATGATTTGTTGGGGCCGAGGAAATGGAAATTAAGATGAGGTGTCTCACTACTGGATAGAAACGTTCAAAGCCCTGTGTGGATTTTGTTCTCATATCTCTGCTACCCTAACCAGTGACGTTCCAGATGGACCCAATCTGGCCAGGCTAGGACTCCCAAGTGAGGGTACCTCACAAGAGCAGGTCCCTCGACTAACCCCCGTTAAACATGTAGAGTACATAGGAAGCAAACTTTTCCCTTTGTAAACCACTAAGATTGGGGGAGGTAGGGGGCGTTTAACTGCTACACGACCTAGTTTATCCTCAGACACAATCTGTACATAATTTAATACCCAGACTTACCTTAAGCCACACATGCTTGTACCTCTATGTATACATGCGTCATTCATCTGTATACATAGAGATGTACACACCTTTGTACATGCATCTATAGATAAATAAACTTCAGCTTTTCAAAATAAATATCATATGGGCATTTTGAACAAACAAGCTCAAGAGCCATAACCTAGAAAAACAGATCACAGGCACTGGTGAAGTGATATCTGAACCCTAATGCTCCTTCTGTCTTTGCCAAAGACCCACTAATCAGCTCGGCTCACTAAGTCCCTTCCCCCAGACTTGATCCTGTCATCTGTCAGTTCAAGATCATTGTAATACCTTAGCCTTATAAAATGCTTTTCTTCCAAGGAGATCAAAGTGAATGAAAGCTTCTTTTATTGAGCTCTCTTTATTACTCCGGTGACATGGTACATGTCAGGTAAATTATTCACATCTGATCAACCAAGAAAATGAGGCAGCAGACGGTGACAAAGGTAGAAGAGGTACACAAAGAGAGTGTTGGAGCAATGTCCAAACCCATCTTCTGTCTCACTGTTTTCTGCTGCCTCTACACCCTGTTCTGATAGAGACGTGATATGTGTGTCATTTTATAATATGATGACAAAACACTGTGCGATCCATTTTAAAATGAAGTGCATAACATGAAAGTTGACTGATCGTGCCAGCCAATTACATGACAAAATGGATTTTACCTATAAAGTTGGACTTTAGTAACATCCACTAATTAAAAACCCCGACAGCTGTACCTAAAGGTCTCCAGTCACAAACTAAGGGACTTGAGTGCAAACTTCCCATAGTTTTTTGTTTCTGTGTGGCCACACTCCAGTATCAGCTCCTTGTGCCTCATAAAATAGTAGCTTACCATGTGTGAGTCCCCTCGTGTGGGGGAGTCTACCACACTGGGAATACTCATTCCTCATATCTCGCCCACCAACCGCATCCCCATTCCTTTGCCGACTTCCTGGGAGTTAGGAAAAGACCATCTGTTCAAAGGGTTGACCTGATAAGTAATAGTTCTTTTGCTTCTGAAACTCAGGTGTGTGATTATCTCTGTACACTCAGAAAACACCATCCCTTTCTAACGTCCTCTTCAGACCAACAAGCAGCAAGATTTGACCAATATCTAAAGGATGAATATGCAGAAAGGGATAGTGCAGTAACAGTAGAGGGATTTGGGTAATGGGTCTGCCCATGAGAGAATGGGGGTGGTCTTTAGATATTTAAGGATTTCAACAGGAACAATAGTGGGCCAAACAGTTGCAAAATTATAAGTGAACCTCAGGACAGCCCTTGCAATGGCTTTTCTGATAATGAAAATGAATTTCTAGGCCAATCTGTTGCCTTAGCTATGAAAGAACAAGAAACAGACATGCAGCATATGTCTGCACAAATGGCATCCACCAGGCCTGAGGGATTTGTGGCACTCTGTGTAGAAGCTGGGGAGCTTTAAAATGGATACAAGATCATGGCTTCTCATTGTTCCAGTAGTGATGTTAGCCATTTTTTGCTGTGACAGCGGAACCCCCTCCAGAAAATGAAAGGTCCAGAACTTATAGAAGCTTTTCCCTTCACTCTCTCTGTTGGTGGTCATAGCTTGGGCCAACATGACTTTCCTCCCTGCTTACAGGATGAAAGAAGCGTTTCACTCTTCAATGACTTTCTGGGCACATGGGACATAACTTGCAAAATTTAGGAAGCGAGAGGGCAGGAATTCAATGTTTAAACACACCTGATAATGGAGAAGATAATCTTTGTATTTTCTTCATGTGCATTGACCTAGTGAGGCCCAGGAACTGGACAGGCCCCAGGGCAGAATGATGGGGTCCTTGATTATGGTCTTTATATTACTAAAGCAGGATAATTTTAAGCTTTGCAGAGAGGTCCAGTCTTGCAAAGGTTTAACAACTCAATACAGCTATGGGTGAGGAATTTAAGTAATATATAAAGCTTGTGCAAACCTTGAACCAAGCTGGTGCGACTAGTACATAGGACAATGGAGTGGCCAGTGGGACGATGTTATATTAAACATGTGTCCGTAGGATAAAGAAGCTCAATTGTTAAAAAAAAAAAAAAAAAAAAAAAAAAAATTAAAAAAAAAAAAAAAAAAAAAAAAAAAAAGCTCAATAGTAACAGCTTGTGGTTTGGGGGTTCTTAGGTAAAAGTGACAGATTTCCACGACACATGGTCCCCAGATGAATCACATGCCATTATTCAATTTTTAAACTCAAAAACAGTTTCTACTACATCAGCCCATCTTAACCTGTCAAGGTTTACAGCAAGAATGCTTTCATTTAATAAAAGATATGACAATCCTTTGTACATCAAAAGACATAATTCTGATGTGCAAACGGCCTGTGAAACAAGTTACGAAATAGAGATCGTATTTTTAGCTTAACCTTCCTAAATCATGCGTCTCATCTCCAGTAGTTTCATTACCTACCGCTATGGGATTTGGCAAGATAGTATTTTCAAAAGCAACAACAAGTTGTATTCTAAATATACTCAGTAATGACGAAATAAACTCAGTTTTTCAGAAGGGCCTTATTTTAATTTATTTTATACTTAACGCAGTTATGGGATGATTAATATTTCACTGTTAGACCATGGTGTCACAGGATAGAATAAGTATAAAAAAGCTTTCATATAATCTACAAGGCAGAAATACACTCCCAGCATTTCATAAAGGAATGCCCTGCAAAAAAAAAGGCAGATGTCTTTGAGGAGGTAAAGTTAAGAAATAAATATAAATATAAAATAAACAAATAGAGATAAGCTTTTCCTAGATCCACTTTGCAAAGGCAACGGTTGAGTTAGACCCAGACTGTGGACCTCTCTGACACCAGGCTACAGTGCGTTATGCAATAATGATCTTCGAGGCTTTTCTATAAGTTACAAATTGTCCTATAGAGGACCTACCAGATCATTCCTTGGTTGAAGATCAGAGCAAGGACATTACCGCTGATGTCAAATTCGGTGTACGAAGGCTACGGAAGACACAGACATTCACTGATTAGCATATCAAATAGTGCAAATTAAAAACCAAGTGCTACACATTTCTACCTAGAGATGGCTCGGTTCATCAACTGCGTCCGTGCACCAAAAATCACAGAATAATCCCAGAATAATCAATATAATAAACAATTGGTGATAAATAGAATAATGCAGCATGCTTTTTAACATAGTGAGGCTCATTTTCCAAAGCAGTCATTCAAAATGTTGTACAAGTGTGGACCAGCGGACTCTCGTACGTGGCTGGCGAAAGTTAAGAATTGGATCAACCTTTAAGAAAACCCAGTTTGACAATACATATAAAAAGCTTTAAAAAATCTCTTTCTCTTTGACCTTGTAAGTCTACCTCTGGGAGTTTGTGTTAACAAATTGATCTCAAATGCTGACCAATTTTAACAAGGAGACTTGACACCATCTCAATGTCCAATATTGGTTACATAAAAACAACATATCTATACTATGATATACAGGGCACATAATAATTATCGCTGCTTGAAGAATGTTTAGAGACACAAGAGAAAACCGGGATTTAATGTTAAACAACAAATATAAAAAACTCATTCATTATTTTTATCAACTGAATGTGAAATCATGCATAAGGAAAAGACTTAAAAATGACCAAAATTAACAGGTGTTCTAGGTGGGTGATGGATTATGACTTACGTTCTCTTCCTTATATTTGCACATTTTAAAGTATTTTTCAAAGAGTGTGGATTTCTTTTACAATAGAATGAATTCGAGAGATACAATAAAAGTTTAAGTCATTCAACTCAAATATCCAGGGTTTGTCTCCTAGATAGCATCACCCGCAGCAACGCCGAGCAGGGATTTTTGTACAGAGGGGCCATCAATAAAAACTGAGGTGGGCATCTGTCCCAGGGTGGCCTGTCCAAAGGCTTCCTGTGGACACATCAGTCATCATATTATTCCATTATCAATGGGAGAAATGTTAATTAGCAATGGCAATGAATCTGGCTCTTATTAAGGTGAGATGGGGGTGCCCAGTGGCTCAGTCAGTTAAGCATCCGACTTTCAGCTTAGGTCATGATCTCATGGTTTCTGGGTTCGAGCCCTGCACTGGGCTCTGTGCTGACAGCTCAGAGCCTGGAGCCTGCTTCCGATTCTGTGTTTCCCTCTCTCTCTCCGCCTCTCCCCCACTTGCTCTCTCTCTCAAAAATAAAAATAAACATAAAAAAATAAGCTGAGCTAGAGAGCAATCAGTCAGGAAACTGACTAAATAGTAGTTAGAGAAAAAGAGAAAAGCAAAAAGCAAAATATGTGAACCAAGAGCCCCAAGAAGACCATGAAAGAGAGACCAAAAGAGAGACAGGTTCCCAATCCCATCCCAGATCCTGGCATCTGCAGGTATGACTTCAGACCAAATGTTTCCTCATAATAACTCCTTCCCAACACACGTGCACGCACAGCACACACACGTGTGCTCACACCTACACACACATGCACACACAATGAGACGATTTGAGAGTGTCACTGTCCTTTTCAAAACCAAGAACCCCCAAAAAAATATTTGTAAGAAGATGGAACAGTTCTCTGGTTCGAAATCCCAACAAAACTATCACAGCTTTTGAACGACTTGCCTCAAGAGTTCTTGAATTCGGTCCTCAACTTCATTACTTTCCCCAAAAGGCAGCAGTACTTTTGGGAAAGATACAGGTTAGGTGCTTTGTAACAGATTCAGGGAGTGAACAGCAAGAATGGTGAAAATAACAAGATAAGATGATAAGATGACACAGAATGAAATAATATTTAGCCCTGTTGTATTAAGCAGGACAACGAAGACCTAGACGATACACAAAGTGTTTTGCTGGTTTCTGGATTATCTAGAAGCGTAACATTCAAAGATGTGAAGAGGTTCGGTTGACAGTTTTTATTCTAAAGCCAACAATGAGAGTAATATGTTCCTCATGGAGAAAAAGGAACTGTGCTTCTAATCTCCAGAAATATTCTGAGTCTCTCTCCCTCCACGGGAGCGCTTTGCTCGGGAACACTTTCTCTTCCCCTGCAGCCTTCTGAGCTCACACAACACATTTAACAAATGCTCGCTTGGGTGCTGTCCCATCTGCGGTCTTGGAACGGCTCTCCCCCGTGTCAGTTTAAGAATCAAACCATCATCTCTGACCTCTTTAGAATGGTGCCATGATTTAACCCATCCAACTATGTAAAAAAAAAAAAAATCAACTTTTTAGAAGTATATTTTCTTGACTCTCACAAATATATAAGCCTCTTAAAGGCCATCTGAGATATTTTTACAACTTAGGCAACTAGAAAAACATAAAGGACACATTGGGGACCCTTGTTCTCATACTGTGTTTGCAGCAGGGTCAACCGGAATAACATAATCTTTGAGGCACAAATTGACCTGAAGCAGAAAGTGGGTACCAGGCATCCCTACTGTACCAAGGGCCTGTGGTCCACACACTCATCTGGATTCACACCTGAGTATTAGGCTTTGCCCTGCCATTTCCTAGCTGTGCAAGCTGGGCCAGTTGCATATCTCATCAGGCCTCAGTTTCCTCACAGATCAACTGATGCAATGAACAAGGTCGGTGGTTGTCCCACTATGGCCCAGGAGCCCAATCTGGACCACCACCTCTTTTTGTAAATGAAGAGTTATTAGAATACAGAGGCCTTCACTCGTTTATGTATTGTCTGTGGCTGTTGGGCACTAAAACAGGCGAGTTCAATAGTTCCCAGAGACCATATCGCCTGCTGAAAACAAAATCCCCTTGTTTCCTACACTCTACTCACAGTACTTCAGACAAAGATGTGTGGGCTGTCCCCCCACATGAAAGTGCCCCAATCCTTTATGGACATAAACCGGGTACCCTACCATTTAACTCAATTTTGACACTGAATGTCGGAGCTAGCACAGACCCCACGGGTTAAGGGTGCAGTCCCGCAAGCCTGCCCCACTTCAGACACCAATCACGAGTTCACATTGCCGCCTACGCACAGTGACTGGCTCTAAATCAGAGAATCCTACAACTTCCTCCTGAGGTTTGACAATTTGCTACAACAGTTCACAAAACTCCAGAAAGCAGTTGATTTACTAGCCTACTTGTTTATTATTCAATATGGCAGGAAGAGAGAAATGGAAGAGATCATATGCATAGGGCAAGGTGTGAGGAAAAGGGCACACGTGTCCCTTCCCAGCGCGCCACCCTCCGGGCACCTCAACGGGTTCAGTGACCTGATAGGTCTCTGAAGCCCACAGGTCAGGGAGTTTCATGGAGACTTCATAAGTAAGCATGATCCGTCATTAACTCACTCTCCTGCCCCTCACCCCTCCTTGGAGGATTGGGGACATGGGGCTTAAAGTTTCAAGCTTCTAACCATGGCTTGACCTTTCTGTTGACCAGTCCCTATCCTGAAGCTTTCTAGGAGCCACCAAACATTGTCTTGTTAGAATAAACAATGTTCCTATCACCCAGAAAATCCCAAGGAATTTGAGGGCTCTGTTTCAAGAACCAGAATCAAAGACCAAATATTGGAACAAAAGATAATCCTAATACCTGTACTGCTTAGGAAATTACAAAGGTTTTAGGATCTCTTCCCGGGACCTGGAAATGGAGACTAAAATATATATTTCTTATTTTATCACAATATCGCACCTGCAGAAGTGAGAACACTTACCATCCAGCCCTGTACAGAGAAAGTCTGCCAACTTCTAAACTCGTTCCTTTCTAAGATCCTTTTCTAATCTAAAATCTGTAATGGGTTGAAAAATTAGACGCAGTTGTTAAAGAATTGCTTCTCTGTAAACATCTCAGAAATGCGCTTGAATACCGTATGAGTTCAACTCAGAAAATCTCACTCTAAAAATAAAACAAAAGTAAGAAGGCAAACATGCGCATGCGCATGCTCATTCTTATAAAGATGGATTTAATAAAAACATGAGATGCTATTGTAGTTTAAGGTTTTAAAAGCAATACTTTAATAATACAAGCGTAAGTCATTTTGCACCCCATTTGCTTAATCGTCTCTAAAACATAAATAGCTCAAAGGTAAATGATGCTTGGGAAAAAATAGGTTTTCCTGAAAACTGAGGAGTGAAATGATTCAGATGGGAAGCATATAAGAAAATCACTAAGGGCCGCTCATCCCTAATAAGATTTTTAGGGGCCAGCAAAAGCAGATCCCATTTGGATTTAGGCTGAGGTCTGTAACCGGTTGTCAAGGGATTGGAAATTATCTTGTTTTATTTCTGGACCTTTGTGGCAGGAGGAGTCAGTCACCTATCTACCCAAAAGGAAGACAGATGGTTGTCACTGGACTGAAGAGCCCAGAAAACTCATCCTCTGTCTGCAAGCTTGGTTGTTTGGGACGGATCATTAACCTATGGATATTGTGGAATATCTCAGAGAGAATTCTGCCATTACAAAGCCCTGTCTGACATACAAATCTCACTTCCCACAGCTGAGATCACTCTGGGTCAGTGGTTCTCAAGAGTGGTCCCCAGACCAGAAGCAGTAGGATTACCTGTGAATTTGTCAGAAAAGTAAATTTGTGGGGCGCCTGGGTGGTTCAGTCGGTTAAGCGTCCGACTTCGGCTCAGGTCATGATCTCACGGTTTGTGGGTTCTAGCCCCGCGTCGGGCTCTGTACTGACAGCTAGCTCAGAGCCTGGAGCCTGCTTCCGATTCTGTGTCTCCCTCCCTCTCTGACCCTCCCCTGCTCACTCTGTCTCTCTCTCTCTCTCTCAGAAGTAAATAAAACATTTAAAAAAACTAAAAAAAAAAAAGAAACTTAAGGCTTTGTACTTCAACCCTCGTTGTCTTCAGAAATACTGTCCAATGTTCAAGTGGAACCTCAAATCCAGAATGTACTATCCCTTTTCCCATATACTCAGCCCTTCATGGGATACTCAAGACTTCTTATTGACTCCTTAGCATGTCATCTTCCTGGGATGCTAAATAATATCTCATTCCCTGCTGGAGAACACAGCTAATAAAAAATTAGTTTATTTCTAATCAGAGCCTGATGCGGGGCTCGACACCAGGCTTGATCTCACAACAGTGAAAGAGTGACCTGAGCTGAAATCAAGAGTTAGACACTTAATCAGCTGAGCCACCCAGGTGCCCCCTATTTCTAACTCTATATCCCAGCCTTTCTTGCTAACTCCACTCTATTGCAAGTGAGCTGTCTAATCTTGGGGGTGCTTCGAGTTACAAATTTCATAGACTGAATCATGAATTAATCAGGATTTGACAGAGTCCTTGAAATTTCTAGGGTTAAGCGATTCAGTGAAAATTCAACATGATAGAAATCTGGTAGATTGCTTTGAAGTTGATTAGACATGAGTTTGAGTCATAGTTCCACCACTGGTTAGCTATATGTCTTTGAGCAAGTTATTAAGTATCCCTCTAAGGCTTAGATTACTGTAAATTAGGAAAAAAAAGTATCTACCTCATAGCATTGCTGGTAGGAGTACATGCAATAATATATGTAAAGTATTTTGTAGAAGTTCTGACATATAATAAGAACTGCATAAGATATACTATATCATAGAATCAACTTTTATGATCTGTCAATTGCATGCCTCTTATTTATTAATAATCTTGAGCCCCTTCATCAGATCTCCAGGAAACCTCTTATATCTTCCATTTATATAAACTTAACAAGGACCACCTTAAAAATGTAACTTGAAACAAGATGCTGAGGTTCTAATGTCATTGACCATGCTCTAATCCCACGCTGTGTATTAAATTCTATCTTCTTACATGTTACCTTTTTTATTGATAAATAGCAAAGGTAATGTCAACATGAACTAAATTGAAAGTAAAGGCATTCCATGTTGAACTGTTGCCTGTAAAGAGTTTACATGAGGCTTTAGGGCAGTTGTGCTGAACCCGGGTGGCTAAAATCCCTCCTGGGAGAAATAATCCACTGCCTATGAGACAGGGAACACTTCAGAAACATTGAAAATTGTCTGCAATGCTTGGAGAAGCTTTGGAAAAAATTAAGTTCCATTATATGGTCTAATAGCCTGCCACTAGCCAGTAATTTTCCCATCTCAGTTCATCTTTATAGGTTTGTTGTGATAATACTTCAGCCATAAATTTATAACTGCAAAACTATATGGGGTCACTTTCAATTTAAGTCACTCTGATACAACCAATATATACAATACAGCACGTTCAACATAATGGCTGTGTCCTGGCCCTGTTTATTCCCAGGCTACATGAACTTAGGCAGCTCTCTTCAATTCATAAGCTCTCAATTTTGCAGGTGTGAAATAAAGGGTACATGACCAATTATGCCAAAATTCCACCCAACGTTAACACTCAGTGGATCTCTGGATCTGAGGTTGGAGTCCACGGAGTTTAGTCGTTACAGAAGCTGTTGTAATAAAAGTGAACACAAGCTCCGTGCTGAGAATGGAGTGTGTATAAGATTCTCTTTCTCTCCCTCTGCCCTTCTCCCCAGCTCGAATGCTCTCTCTCCCTCCTCTTCTCTCTCTCTTTCTCTGTTTCTCTCTCTTTCCTTTCCTCCCTTTCTCCTTTCCTCTCTCCCTCCACTACCAAAGTCATGTTGCCTTTGGTTTCTTCTGTGGTATTTATATTTCCTGCTCTGTATTAATAATGATAGCTTGTAGGATCAAAGGGCAGTAAAGAGTGTGCGGACTGGTGGATGAGAATTCCATCTGTACAGGGCAATGGTTTCTCACTCCAGCCAATTTCTGACCAGTGTGAATATGGATCGAATGTTGCCCGCCCTCCCAATATGCCAAGAAAAGCAAAAAATTCATATATTTTTACATGCAAAACTTCCAGTTTTAAAATACGAGCTCGTTAAAAAACAAACAAATAAAAACCCAACAGAGCAAGCCAACAAAAGCACCCTGTAGACAAAAGAAAAAATATATATATCGGAAAGCTGAATCGAGGCATCTAGTCCAAGTTTGCAACCTCTCCCTAGGCTTACATCTTTCACATCTCTGTATCCCCTTCTCACCCAGAACAGAGGTTTGCTCATACCGATTTGCACCTAGTGAGCACTCAACTGAGTAAGCTCTCTACGTGACGAGCCAATGATATAGGATCCACCTCAAAGATCCACCATCCACCCTTTACCGTTTAAACTTTGTTTTGATACTGGGCTTCTTTCTAAAGAGGCTTCCAAAGGAACATGGGAAAAAAGTCTCTGTGACCTAAAGCAGAACTCGTCATTTTTCCTGTACTTTGTACTAACCCAAGAGCACCGTCAGCACCCAATAAATAATAAATTACAGTCATTTAATTACAGCTTTTATGCATCCAGGTCAGTTTATTGACTTCATATTTGAAGCAAAATTTTCTAGCACTTAGGAAGAAAGCAGTAAGGGCTAAAAGGCAAGCATAAGCCAAGCAACAGCCTAGGAAAGGAGTGGCAATTTTTACGTCTGCCTCAGAAGGAGCTGAATCAGACAGGGAAAATAGAAATGAAACCAAGCCAGCTGAATACCTCATAGCAGGGAAGGGAAAACAATACAACAGAACCCTGGATCTATAGCATTACCTCACTGGTGTTCACCAAAGAGCATTACCTAACCGCTTCTGGCTCGTCCCAAAGGCACTTTCAGAGAGGAGGACAGAGATGACTTAATCATCAAAGGTACGATCTCAAAGTCAGATAGCCACGCGGAGGATCCAGGCTGGTGTCTTGGAAACAAGCTCTGAGGAAAGGACTTGTCTGGAGACTAGAGGGCACGGGGCTGGGGAGAGGTCGGCAGAAAAGAATGCCCTTTCTCTAGCAAGGAGAGAAACATCATTGGCTGGACAATACTAAAGCCAGAACTGACTCCATGGGCACATCGCTGAAAGCAGGCAGAATTCTGTCAATAGACGGCGTGGCCTTGATGGTGCTAGAATGTAGAGGTTCAACACTATAACAGACAGTCAACATACAATGCCTGCTATGTGAGGTCTAAACATAGAGGTCAAAGCTTCTGTTTTTATAGGGCTTTCATTCAAACTGAGGGAGATGGATTACAAGGTGGTTTGTAAAAGGAATTATCAGATAGTTATATGTCATATGCAGAAATTTAGGGAGGGTGTTGAAACAGAGTGCCTGGTAAGGTACATTAGATGGGAAGGTCAGGGAAGAGTTCAAAGGAGATGACACATTAGCTGAGTGCTTAATGACAAGAAGGCATCAATCATGCCAAATTCTAAGAATCTATACCCTACAGGGGAAAACAGCTAGAGCAAATACAAGGAGAATCTCGTGTTTGAGCATAACCGAGAATTCCAACATTTATGGACTTTGTAAAGCAAGAACAAAAGTGGTAGAAGTTGAGCTCAGAAAGACAAAATGAAACAGATCCTATAAGGTGTCGAAGGCCTTGGAAAGAGGTTTGGAATTCATTTTAAGTACTTATAAGCCATTGGAGGATTTAAGGTAAGTGATTACAGTCAACTCTTTCAGGTCATAGTTCTCAAGATGACTGTTACATTTGCAAAAGAGGGACAGTGGTCACCTGGCAATGTGGTAGAGTGATGTGTGCTCTGCTGCTGCCCTTGAACTTCGGGGGACGGGGGGCACCTGGGATTTAGCATAGAGGGTGAGCTGGGGATGGAGTCAGAGAAACTTGCACTGTTGTTGTGGGAAAGGAAACCAACTTGCCAGAGTTCAGGCCCACCACTTGCCAAAGCTCTATCAGCACCCTGGGTCTTCCTTGAAACTTCCACACACCCCTGCTTCTGTCTGTGCTGAGCTCTCATTACCCTGTGAGCTTTATGAAATAAGCGCCATATTTACTGAATCCTTTTATCCCTCGACACACTGCACGATAACTGTCCAGGACTCTGTTTCATAGAAACAAAGGAATTACCAGAACGTGCAGTTGATACACCCTTCTTGCCCTGCTTCTAGAAATGTCGGCAAGCTTCATGGGGAGGTAGCTGGCTATGAGGCCCAGATTAATTGAGTTCACCATGTTCATGGAAAAGTTGAGGTCTGCTACTCTAGCCATCCTGTGCTAATTTTACCAAAATACCGTACACCATGACACTCGAGTCGGAAACTCTTCTAAATTAGAACCGTACTCACTGGTCTTCATGTATTAATATCTTACAGGTGGTCCCACCTTCCAAAGTCCTTTTCTTGTACTGTGTGTGCAAATGACAATTCACCCACAAATAATCTGACAAGAGAAAAGTGAATATCATACTTACGTATCCATATTCCAGATCCCAGCACCAACAGTAATTGCAAAATCTCACAAAACAAGCCCGGAGAAAGTCTCCAACGAGGATTGTGACATAAGTGGTCAGAACATCAGAAACGGTCAGCCTCACAAATTCCTGTTAACATATTATCCAGATTAAAACGAGCATGTGTCCCTTCAAATGGCCCCAGGATCGACATCAAGTTCTTTCTGCTTCTGCCTAGTATTAGCTTAGAAACAGCAATTCATAGTTTTTTTTTTTTTAAAAGTCAGGCATATCTAGCAAGGGAAGGCTGTTTCACCCTTATTTTTTTAGACTAAAAATAATGATCTCAACATTCCAAAGCTGCTGTATCAAAAGTCTTCGTGCTGGGAAACTTTTTTTTTTTTTTTAATGTTTTTATTTATTTCTAGGAGAGAGAGAGACAGCGTGAGCAGGGGAGGGTCAGAGAGAGAGGGAGTCACAGACTGAAACAGGCTCCAGGCTCCGAGCTGGCAGTCAGCACAGAGCCCGACGCGGGGCTCGAACTCACGAACCGCGAGATCATGACCCAAGCGAAAGTCGGACGCTTAACCGACTAAGCCACCCAGGCGCCCCGTGCTGAGAAACTTTTATAGGTATGACATAAGAAACAAAACCAGGAACATATTGGCCACACGTTAGTTTAAAACTTTAATCTGGCAAACAGCATTAGTTATCAAGTTAGAAAGACAAACTTGGAAAAGTACTAGAAGCAAATGTGATATAGGAGTCTTTTCTCCAATGTGTTAAAAAATGCTTATAAATCAGGGACGCCTGAGGGACTCAGTAGGTGAAGCATCCGACTCTTGATCTCTTGATCTCTGCTCAGGTCATGATCTCACAGAGTGGGGGATCAAACCCCCTGTGGGGCTCCGCATTGACAATGCGGAGCCTGCTTGGGATTCTCTCTCTCTCTGTCTCTGTCTCTCTCTGCCCCTTCCCTGCTAGCTTCCTTTCTCTCTCAAAATAAATTTAAAAACATTTTAAAAATAAAATAAAATAACCAGTGAGAAAGAATTTTCTCACGGGGTAAAGGACCATTTGAATAGCGGTTGTTCGGTTAATTTCCAGCCTCATACTTCAGAGCAGCGCTTCCCGAAAATCATGCACCATCTCCATGATTCTCGATATGTCCAAGTACCCTAAGAAATATAATTTAGCTCATATTTCTTTTAACTTTCATATCTTTATTCTTAAAAGATAACTACTACTATTATAAATACAATCTGCCATAAGTAGTATTTAACTATAAAATACATAGAACACAAGCAAACCTTATGGTATTAAAGACTTTAAAATACAAATTTGAAAACTTAGCATTAGTTTTCACCAACAGCAATGCCTGTGTCAAGGGCTTGTAAGCCAGCAGTATATTGTGGGAAGTGTTGTGACAGACCAGGAATGGAGGTTGGGAAGAATAAGCCAGAAGGAAGAAAAGCTTTTGCACCAGAGCCTGTTAAAACCTGTCGCGTGAGTCTTACGCTTGTGGGGACCCACCTGGAAGCCTAGAAGCCATATAGAATAAGCCTCAGAACTGTCCATGCCAGAGACAGAAGAGAGACATAGTGAATCGCCACCTCCCTGCTAGTGAAGGATGGCCCCATGTGGCATTATCACTCCACCCGGGGACACCACAGAGACTTTGAGGGGAAGGGCCCAGCTGAGATCCTACCGGATAACAGGTGCATGCAGTTGTTTGTGGCAGCAACAGCTGGAATAAAAAGGTGGGCCAAGAGAGTGTGAGGTTCCTGGATACTCTGGAAGTTTCTATATCTGACTCCTGTCTAGCTTCCCATATTCTTCTGGTAATACTCTCAGCCTCTTCTTCACTCCTGCCCCATTGGCTTTCATTGAGACCCTCAATCTCCAGACTTCTTCAGGCCACAGGACCTTTGCATGTGCTCTTTGCTCCACTCAGTCATTCTTACTTCACCTCTTGACTTAGTTTATACCAACTAATGCACATCACGACAGCATCCCTAATTGAGGAAAGTTTCACTCCCCTAGCTGACAAGGGCAAGCTTCTCTATACAAAATTCTCAGATTCCTTGCAATTCATTCTTGCTATCATCATAAATTTGCAAATTTTGCAAAATTATTCAAGAAATCATAGATTTCACAAGAGCAAGGAACTGGCCCACCTTTGTGCCTAATGCACCTCTAGTATCCAGCACGATGCTTGCCGCTCAGCATGCGCTCAATAAATATAGTATGAATGATGGGTGATAGTGAGCTCCTGCAGCCATAACTTTTCCCTTCCCTGTTCTGACCCTCCTTTTCATTCCCCAGCCGATCTGAGTTCAGGTTCTAAAAACTAGTATCAATCAGAGGTAGGCGATGAGGGATATTTTTCTGGCTTTTGCTGCCAGGTCAGGAGGACCTCCTCAGGTAAGAGAAAAGTTCAGAGTGTTTTTGAAGTTCCTACATGTTCCTAAACATCCTCATCCAATAACTGATATCCCATTTTTTTCCTAAGCAGTGTTCTGTCACCTAAAATACCGGAAATTCCCTGGGTGGCTTAGTCGGTTAAAAGTCCGACTCTTGATTTTGGCTCAGGTGATGATCTCACAGTTCGTGAGTTCAGCCCTGCATCGGGCTCTGCGCTGACAGGGTGGAGCCTGCTTGGGATTCTCTCTCTCCTCTCTCTCTGCACCTTCTCTCTCTCTCTCTCTCTCTCTCTCTCTCTCTCTCTCAAGTAAATAAATAAACATTAAAAAATATACCAGAAGAAGATTCAAACATTATATTGAGACATAAGAATATTTATTCACAAACCATCAGAAGAAAACAATGCCTGGGATGCCTGGGTGCCTCAGTCAGTTAAGCGTCTGACTTCAGCCCAGGTCATGATCTCATGATTCATGAGTTTGAGCCCCACATCGGGTTCTGTGCTGACAGCCAGCTCAGAGCCTAGAGCCTGCTTTGGAGTCTGTGTCTCCCTCTCTCTCTGCCCCACCCCTGACTGCACTTTGTCTCTGTCTCTCAAAAATGAATAAACATTAAAAAAAGAAAACAATGCTTTATAAGAGAATCCCCCAAACAGTGGCTCAGCCCACCTCAAGGGCCCCATCCAATCCCAGATCCTAGCGTGCTAGCCAGGATGGGAGCACAGTCCCCACCCAGGCACCCTGTCAAGCGCCACACCTCACATCTCTCACTCATGACAGTTAGTTAAAATGTCTAGGCAGCTTTGATCAGTAAACCTAAGAATCACTAGCAGGAAACAAGAACACCATCAACAAGGGGCATCACAAAGGACCACAGACTCTAGATGGCTCATCGTAGGAGTTTGGAGGGTATGTGTTGATGCTAATTATGTTTCTAGGGACAATTTAACACTATGGATAAGGATGTAAACTCTAATCAGGCCATATGGGTTAAATGTGGGCTCCTGTGGTTGACTTCATTTAAGAGCCTGAGCAAATTATTTTACTTGTTTAGGCCCCAGTCTCCTTATCTATAAAATAGAGATAACAGAGATAACAATATGACTTATCTCAAAGGGGAATTTAAAAATTCAAGGAGACAGTGCTGAGCACATTAGGGCCACTCAATAAATGTTAGCCATTGTTATCATTAAGTTTAGTTGTTTGGCTTCCCCAAAATGAAGACCTCAGTATATAGCTTCAAATAGCAGTCTCCCAGGAACGGCTTTGCTGCCTACATATCAAATATTATTGGAGATGAGACTAAGTGGCTACATCTTGAAATTCCCTGGAGGGACAAAGGAGCCACCAAATCATCTTATAATCAAACTCAAAGAGAGATTTGAGGCCCACATCATCCTTGAGGAAAGAAAGCAGAGGGCATCCACGGAGGAGACGGAGGAGACGAGGAAGCATCTGGAATGTTCTTACGGAACAAAGAATGAGCCTTTGAGGTATGTCCCCATCATTGCATGCAAAGCAGTTGCTTTTACTATTTCTCCTGGAGTCACTGTTTTTAAGTGGTTAAAAGAAATGTCTCTAGGTGCATGGATATTGATCTCTTAAAGACGAGGCTTTCCAGCATGTACGGTTTTTATGTTCCCTGTGTTCTTTTTGTCCCCGGGGACTCTACCTCCCTCAATAGTCTGTTCAGAACCACAGCCTCTTGGGCCAGTTCCTTGCAGACTTTCCCACAAGGGCTGAATGTTCGCCCTAGAGAAAGGAAGGTCAAAAAGAAGGGGGCGGTAAGGAAAGATGAGGATGCATGAAGATGGGATTTTTTTTTTTTTAAAGATCAAGACAAGCAGCATGGTCCCAAGAAGAACGAAACAAGTGACTTTGCCTTTATTTTAAGTCAGTCTGTGCAGAACTATCACAGAAGCTTCTGCATAACCAGAGACATAAGTAGGCTCCTAGATTGCGTTGGCATTCATATCCAATCAATCACTTTCTCTTCCCCAGAAGACTCAATCTTATTCTTTTTTTTAATGTTTATTTACTTTATTTTGAGAGAGAGAGAGCATGTGCACATGTACAAGAGGTGCAACAGAAGGGGAGGGGTAGAGAGAGAAAGAGAGAGAGAGAAAAAATCTCAAACAGGCTCCATGCTGTCAGTGCAGAGCCCACGCTGGGCTTCATCTCACGGGAACCATGAGATCATGACCTCAGCTGAAATTAAGAGTCAGATGCTTAACCAATGGAGCTGACCAGATGCCCCACCTCAATCTTATTCTTTACAGTTAAGTTCTATCAAGACTGTTAAAGGGTAAACTTCTCAGCCCACATGCCAGTCTGCATTCTAGGGTATATAAAAGAGAACATTTCAAGCTCTTTGAGTGTGTGCAAAAAGCATATTTGCCCAATTTTTTCATTTCTTTCAACTTTAGCTGAAGAGTCAAGGAGCAATCTCAACGTGGTAAGATTTTTGTTAAGCACCAAGACCAGACTTCACTTCAAGGACCTTTGAAATCCAGAAACCTGTGTACCGCTGTGTATGCATTTTCTGTTGCTGCTGTCGCAGATTAACCACAAACTTAGTGGCCTAAGACAACACAGATTTATTTTCTTGTAGTTCTGGAGGTCAGAAGTCAAAAATCAAGGTGTGGGCATCAGGGAGGCATTGGTTTCCCCACCTCGCTCGGCTTCTGGAGACTGCCTGCATTCCTGAGCCCAGAGCCCCCCTTGCTCCATCTTTAAAGCACATCCCTCCACACTGGTTCCACTGCCACATCGGGTTTTTCTGACTTTGACTCCTGTCTCCACTTGTGCTTTCATCAGGTCCATCCACATAATCCAGGATCATTTTCTCATTCCCCGACTTAATCACATCAGCAAAGTCCATTTACCACGGAAGGTAACACAGTCATAAAGACTCCAGTGATTGAGACATGGACGTGTCTGAAGGCCCATTATCCCGTCTGCCACACCTCGGATCACCACACCTCCCCACTAAGTAAAGGCAACTTTCACTTCATCTCATTTTCCTTCATCTCATTTCACTTCATACGTAGTATGTTCTATAAACATGTATGGAATGTGCATGTCTAAGGATTGAGTATTTAATAAAATGTAACTGGAAAGGGAGGGGCTTATCTGGGCCCCTGAAACCTTAAAAATAAAGTAAAATAAAATCCTTAATCATGCCATACTTTTTGGACACAGTCTTCAATCATGTGTTCTAGCATCATATACATTTTTCTTATTTTCCCCCCACAATTGAAATCACAGTCTGATGAGCATCTAATGGAGCATTGAGGGTATGTAATGATATCTACATTTGTTTATTTCTTTTATTATTTCTTTATTTCTTTTTAATGTTTTATTTATTTTTGAGAGAGAGACAGAGTGTGAATGGGACAGGGTCAGAGAGAGAAGGAGACACAGAATTCGAAGCAGGCTCCAGTCTCTGAGCTGTTAGCAGACCCCAGTGTGAGGCTCAAACCCACAAACTGTGAGATCTTGACCAAAGTAGGACGCCTAACTGACTGAGCCACCCAGGTGCCCCTATCCACATTTGTTTAAATTATATTAGCTTTATAAGACTAACACTAACTTTTAATTTTTCCTTTTATTTTGCCAAAAAGAAGTACACAGCAAAAAATTATTCAAATAATTCCACAAGACCATGTTACTGCTGAAGCTGAACTCTTGTCCAACAGGCAGGCAGATGCATGATGACTTATTTAAAAATATCTTTCATCGTCAATGAACCAAAGTCCAAAGTCAGTTTATGAAATACACATTAAAACGAAAGATTGGATAAAATTGGATCTGTATAGTAGTAAGAGGCATGCGATAGTTTATTGTTGTTGCTTTTGCTTAATTTGGTTTCCTCTATTGGGCAGAAAGCCATATGAAACATTACTTCTTTTCTCTGTTAAAATAACAGTAGTCTCTGACTGGGGCCATTTACATAATCATCATGAAAACAACTATCTTAAAATAGTATTTCCTTTAACACCTAAGGAACCAATTATCTGACAAAAATGGACATTCCTGAAATTAGTATTAGTGTGTGCTCCCCAAAGAATCTTTTTCTTTTCATGGAAAACAGGTAATATTAAGTAGAGCTCCATTAAAATATTCACCTGAGCCTGTATCTAAATCTAGGTGCTTTATTATAACACAAATCGAAAATAAACATCTCCTCACACCATTTAAAAATATCCTTTCTTTATACACAATGTGAAAAAGGTGTAAAAGTAGTACTTACCTCCAAAATGGGTGTGAGGACTACAAGAGCTAATAGATTTGAAACTCACAGCCAGCGCGTGGTAAGCATTCAATCAAGCTTAGGTATATATATATTTTTATTAAGCAATAAAAAAGATCGGCCACACTTGGGAAAGAGATAATTGATTCCGCTCCTTTTTAATTCATTAATTGTCATACATTTGTGCTTGTGACATTACCTGTCCCACCATTGTTTCCCAGCAGGGTCCCCGAGGTACATCCGCAGGGTGCACAAAAAATGGTGGTCCCGTGCTATTTCCCGAGAGTGATGCATTATAGGCCTTGATCATGTTGGCTTCCCAGAGGGTAATATTGGCCTTTACCAGCTTCTCTTCTTCAATCTTGGGGGCAAAGGAATGCAAACAAAAATGGAGCCAACACAGATTTCAAAGGCATTTCTAAGAACCCGGAGACAGGGAATGGTAACAACACCCTGATGCCAAGAACAATCCAGATACAAGACTTACCTTGTTGTTAATCTCATCCATCAAGGCAAGAATAAATACATACAAGTTGCCTAAGAGTAGAGCAAAAATGCGGCCCAGTAGCCATTTCAGGGCAATGAGAGGATGGTAGTCTTCCAATTCGGCAAATAAGTCAAACAGTGTTGGACAGAACATCCCCAGAAGGGACATGACCATGTTCATCTACAAGGAGACACAAAGAATTAACTACGTTGGGGCGCCTGGGTGGCTTAGTCGGTTAAGCGTCCGACTTTCGCTTAGGTCGTGATCTCTCGGTTCGTGGGTTCGGGCCCCGCGTCGGGCTCTGTGCTGACTGCGGGCTCAGAGCCTGGAGCCTGTTTCGGAGTCTGTGACTCCCTCTCTCTCTGACCCTCCCCTGCTCACGCTGTCTCTCTCTCTCTCTCTCTCTCCTAGAAATAAATAGAAAATTAAAAAAAAAAAAAGAATTAACTAAGTTAACGGTATCTTTAAAAATATTTTTGCTTTCCTCCAGAAATTTGCAAGATTTCAGCTAGGTTTCCTTGATCTTTTATAAGACTAAAGAAGATTATCTCATGCATTTTTTAAATTTGATCTTAATAAAACAACAAAGACATTCAGCTCCCATGCTCAGGATGTACTTGGTTCTGAGCTTGTATATGTGCCAGTAATAATAGTCTGTTTCCTGGTATAATGAGGGAGGTAATTTACATCACCTTCTATCCAAAGAACACAAACTGTTCCACATGAGAACTGATTCTGATATGGTGATACACGTTGCAACAAGATTTCCAAAGGAAATGGAAAATGATCTGCTTGAGGAATGAGGTCCAAACTAGAGACACTAATTTGACAATTACCAGTTTATGGGCTGGTTCTGTCAGTCAGAATAAATGAGCTCCTGGGGATGGGTTCAGGACTAAATACTGAATTCTGAGGAATACATACTATTAGGAGAAAAAAAAATCTAATGGGTTTATCTAAGAAACAGGACATTCAGAGAAACAAAAGAACACAGGCATGATGTTATCACAGCCAAGTAGGAAAGTTCCAGCTCCAGGAATGAAGAACTGGTTTATAATACCATTTTGTGTGTGTGTGTGTGTGTGTGTGTGTGTGTGTGTGTGAGTGAGAGAGAGAGAGAGACAGAGAGAGACAGAGAGAGAGAGACAGAGAAAGACAAAGAGAGAATATATGAAAGAGAAAGAACAGAGAGAATATATGAAATGTACCAAATGTCTGACACCTTTATAATTGCAATATTGGGCTAAATTAAATCAGAGGGGAAAAAATCCAGCTCATGCACAACTTTTATGAGGGGGAAAAGCCTCCTTAAATGAAAAAAAAATATTTCTGGCAAACCCTGGCAATGGTCTTTCCTAAATACCTGCTTCAGACGGTCACTTCACTACTAAACATTTCCTATTTCCCACTTCTTGACTCCATGATTTGAATGATTATAACTACCCCACTGTATCTATAGTATCTTTTAATGTTTATTTATTGGAGAAGGGGGGCGGCAGGCAGAGAGAGAAGGAGACAACAGAATCCGAAGCAGGCTCCAGGCTCTAGGCTGTCAGCACAGAACCTGACGCGGGCCTCAAACTCATGAACCATGAGATCATGACCTGGGCTGAAGTCAGATGCTTAACTGACTCAGCCACCCAGAAGCCCCACTACCAGGCTCTATTAAGAAAATAAGTGTCAATATGGTTTTTCCCAGTTTTATTAAGAGCGTTATATTATATTAAGAGCATAATGAAGAGGAACTAAAAATCAGCATGGCCTAATACAATCAGCACTATATAATTTCAGCCTAAAGTAAAAGGTTGGCAGATCCTGTGCTATCTTTTATAAGGTAAACTTAAATCCATTAATGCATCTAATTAATCCCTATTGCTACCTTTGTTGGCCCTGCAGACTTTAGGGGAAAACGGCTGTTAAAACAGACTCTTACATAGAGAGATCCTTCTAATGAAGGTCATTTGCTATGACCTTTACTATGGTTCATTTACACAAAAAATACGATCAGTAAGCACCATGGAGATGAAAGTGGCATGATAATTCTGCCTATGATAGCAGCTATCACAACCATAAGAAGAGACTTTGACAGCAAGCTTAATAAATGCTTTGAGGTTCTCCTCTGTTTTAAATAAATAAAATCACTCTACCTAAAGAAGTCTGTGCTGCTATAGTCTCTTAAATGTACAGCCTCCCTTCTCCAGTGTTACCACTTCTGAAATACCTAGAGTGTTTTGGAATCTTTTGTTGTAATAGGCTATCTTATATCTTGTCCAAGATCTTTCTAGAAAATACTATGCTGATAAAGACTTTCTGAATCATTTTGGTCTACCAGGCTCTGTAGAAGGTTTGGTGTGGGAAGTCTACACTTCCAACAGCCTAAATCTATACATACTTTGAAAATGCCCAAGTTAAAAATGGGGCCACAGCATATTCTATAACATTTTATGAAAGGAAACAGGCCCTAGCAACAACACAAACCAATGATTTCCTTTTTCTAAACATGTAAATTTCCTTATTCTAAATGTCTGACCTCCTTCGTCTAAGTGGGTAGATATCTTGAAGATAAATGACAACCATATTTAATTCCAGGCAAAGGGCTGGCCTTCCTCGTTTGATTATCTTTCGAAGGGGGAGGAAATAAGTCAAGGGGAAGAGAAGGTGGTAAATGTGCAGTGAGGCTTCTAGGGAAAAGCAGAGAGAATCCCAGACTTGCTCAAAGTGCGGAGACAATCTGATGTTTCCGGTGAGATAAACATAGGAATCAAAAGCTCTATCATTGCTGCTTCAAAGAATTCAGGCAATAATTGGGTCTTTCAGTGACAGATGCAGTCTACAGAGAAAGAAACATGGAGTCATGGAAGGAGCGTTGACCTTGAAATAAAGATTCCTAGGTTTGAAGTCGCTCTTCTCCATGGTTCCATGACGGTGAATACATCCCTCTCCTGACACTCATTAACCGCATCTATAAAACGTACTGGTTGGAATATATGTGTTCTAACATCTCTCCCAACGCTAACTTCCCATTAAGTCACAAAATGAAAAACAGACAGTAGACAGATTTGGAAATAAGGCTGGAATAGAGTGGAAAAGGCGTGAGAGGGCTATTTAATGGTCAGGGCAGCATGGAGAAGACAGGTAAAGGATGGGCTTATTTAATGTCCCACCAGAGAAGCAAATCCCACACCATCTCAAATGTCAGGTTCTAAGCACATAATAAGCATGCAGAGACGAACTTCATTCTTTTCCCACCACCCAAGGGTGTCAGGGTCTTGCTGTGCAAATTCCTGGGATCGCTTCACAGCCCAAAAGATGAGGTATCCACTCCCGCCAAGTGTTAGAAACACGAAGAAGTTAGCAAGAAACCTCAGGAATCTGATCAAGTGGACGTTTTCTTCTACTTGGGCTGCTCTCTCCTCTATGATAGCTTCCTGTACCCAAGCAAAACAGAAAAAGAATGATGTGTCCCAGCTACAAAAAAAAAGGCTCATAAACTCAGAAAATATTTTTGCAAACATCAAAACATGAGGAATGAAAATGTTCGCTCTCTCTGGGATTCCACAAACCAGGCAAATGTCGCCAGCAAGTGAGGACATGTGAGAGAACGAACAAAGAATTCTTACAACCAAACTCTGATTGATCTAATACAGGATTAACCTTCTGTCTACATTCTCTCTCAATACCGTGTTTTCTTTAAAGCTACAGAAAGAAGACTTCAGAGTCATTTTAAATATCGAGCTAACTTATTCCTGTAAATAATTATGAGCATCGTTCTGTTATTTAACTATCTGATTCTGATTACTAGCGGTCTCCTGTTTCGAGCCAACGGCATTATTTTTATTACCAAAGTTAGAGAAGCCATCGTCCCATCATGGGTTGTCAGATATTTTCCAGTCGCAATCAGGACACTGCCTGGATCCTGCTAGGCTGAAAGGATGAGTTATTCTTTCTTTTAATTGTCAGGATATTTTGCTCGCTAAACCATACAGAGTGATTTCAGTTTTACTGTTTAGAAATACAGAAGAAGGGCTCGTGAAGTTGATGTGTTTACCTTAAAGTTCATGGTGATAGAATTGAATTTGTTGTCTGCTGTTTCTGGATTGCCAATCAGGTAGTCCCAGCTGGTGAACACCTTCCAGCTGAAGTTGAAGGTGTTGTCGTCACCACCGCCATCATCACCGATATTTTTGGTCATCCTGTGAAAACAGCAAGTTTGATCCACCCCCCAGAATACACACAGAAAGAGAGAGGGTCGGGAGTGGTACGATATCAGTTGTAGGTAAACTGGAGAAGCAATGTCCCAAAAGCATGTATTTCCAAATGAAGTTTGCTCTTATCACCAGAAAATCAAAGTTTATTTTCAAATTTTGGCTTTGTTTTACTTCTCTAAACTGTTCATTTTTAGGACTTTCAGGATTAAAAGACAATGAAGCATTGATGATTTTAACAACTAAACAGGTTTCATAAAAATATGTATCTGTATTGTTTTCCTCACCTGCTTTCTTAGTGTCCTATACTTGTTCTTAATCTTTTGTGGGATAAATATCTCTTTAGAAATCTGATGAAAACCAATGGATCCTTCCCTGGGTGGGGGGGGAGTAGAAATATGTGTAGACTCAAAACTATTCTACACAATTTTAACTTATTTCCAGATCTCCCTACAGCTAGGAATGAGCTAACCCAAGGCAGGGCAGGAAGCTCCTCGATGGATTTAATTCCCCCTGTCCAGAATCTCTTCCCAAAGAACAGATAGAATGCATGAAATTTCTCCATACTATACAACTCTTGAACAAAAATCAAAAGTCTTATACACACACACACACACACACACACACAATTCTTACACAACCTTAGTGCCAACATGTTACATATCTTCTAATCTATATATTCTAATATATATAAATTACTGATTGGAATGTATACATATATATATATAGAGAGAGAGAGAGAGAGAAAGAGAGAGAGAGAGAGATAGTTTTGTTTTGGTTTTTTGTTGTTGTTTGCTTGGAGAGCTTTAAATGCATTTACTTACAGTTTATTTCAATGGTTATCTTCTAACCTTTATATTCTAATATATATAAATCACTGATTGGAATAAATATATGTATATATATATAGTTTTGTTTTGTTTTGTTTTTGTTTTTGTTTTTGTTTGCTTGGAGAGCTTTAAATGCATTTACTTACAGTTTATTTCAGTGGTCAGAGATCTATATTCCACTCACTCCACTTCCTTTTGCCCCCTTATCACTATAAATAGCAAAATTAAAATTTCATATGATACATATTATAAAATGATCTCAGAGGGTTTGGGTTTTGTGAATATTATAGTGATATAGAACCAAGAAGGAAAGAAACACAATAATGTAGTGACATAAAGCTGACATGATAGGCTGACAGGTATCTCTGAGGTCGCCGACATTCAGCTCCCCTTCTTAGAGAAGTTGATATATTTTAAATGGGTTAATGTGTTATGAAAAATAACCAAAAACAATTATCCTTTACATCAGTCTATCACTTTATCCTTTGAAATGGTGTTTCGTGCATTACCATATTTGTCCCTTCTCAAAAACTGAGCAAAATGTTGAGGTAGTTAATATTACTCTTTTTTCACAGGTGGGGAAGCTAAGGGTTAACATTATGAAGTGGTTTGCTGGACGTTATCCAGCAGTTAACCACGGAGGTAGGTCAAGGGCCTAGGTTCTCTGACATCACTCTGGTGCCCAAGCTAGGACTCCATGAGATCCGTCGGATCACATACAATGATTTTTGTAGGTCAAAAGGTGTTGAAATCAAAGATTCCCAATGGTTTATCCTAGAGAGAAAATTATTTGTGTGACTAATATGCCACTGTCCATTTCTGTGCTGTCGCTGAGGTAAAGGCAGGGCCCCAGGTAAAAATGGTTGCCTGACACATTTACGTTTTGACTGTAGCTTCCCTGGCAAAATTGTGTAGCTGTAGACAGCCTCCCAGCTAAGGGAGCGTGAGCTGGACAAACACATGGGGAACACCCAGTGTGTGGGAATCGATAAGAAAGGGAATAGAATGCTGAAAGGGGTAAGGAAAGATCCCGAAGACAAACTGCTCATAGCATATTTTTGTTGAGAGGCACTCCGCATATCTAGAAAACATTCCGTGGACAGCTCAATCCCTTGCCCGTAGAGGGAAAAAGTGTACATACCTATGAAAATTCTTCCCTTTGCAAGGAGGTTATAGTCTTGAACCACTGCCTCTACAAGAAGTCAAGAAGTACCCTTAACATATCATTGGCTTTGCTGAGAGGTTGTTTGGGGGTGGGGTGGGGGTGGGGCACAAGTCAGTGACAGGCAGAAACAGAGAGAGAGAGAGAGAGAGAGAGAGAGAAGCGGGGCCCACCAATGTGAGACTTGAACTCACAAACGGTGAGATCATGACTTGAGCAGAAGTCAAACGCTTAATGACTGAACCACCCAGGCACCCTTTGCTGAGAGGTTATAGGAAGCAACTGTTGCATTAGTGCCTTTGCCTAGGGTTTCATACTAGACTTCCTGCATGGGACAAGTTTATATCTCTGTTTACGTGCTTGGATCACTTGGTCATTTTGTGGGTATATATAAAGGTTTTTAATAAATCAAGTAAATACCTCCCTGAATCCTAAGCCAACAGGGTCACTATAGTGTAGCCTCTGCTAAAATGAAAGTCAGGAATAGAAAGGGGGTTGAAAGGCAGGTAGGAAACAACTCTCTAGAAGCTCACGGGATAAGCCCATTATGGACGGGAAAAAAAATTACAGCAAGCATCCTACTACACTAAATAGCATGTATTACATTCTTGAGAAAAAAGAAATTGAGGCAAATATTTGACTGCAAAGGATAACATATATGGATACAATATATATATTAACTGTATATTGGCCACAACCTCTGTTTGTTCCTTAGTTTACAGCTGTTACTTCAACTGAACATCATGAGGGCAGGGACTTTATTTTGCTCTAAAATAAATCCTAAACTAAATCCTCGGGCACTGGCTAGCCTCCTCCCGCCCCAGATCGCCCACAGCAATTGATCAAATTTTAAATAAATGAATAAATATATGAATTGTGATTTTTGGAAATCAAGCTAGCAATTGACTGAAGGACCAACATAGAAACAATACTCACGAGGCCTCTGTAATGTAACTGGCAGCACTGATTTTAATTTTGCCAAATCAGAATGGCGAAAAGACCAGAAAGAACATAGATTTGGGAAGGTGGTAATACTTTATTAGGTAGACAGATACCTTATATTTAGGATCTCTGATTATATCTGGACAGGTGGATCAATATTGGAAGTGAGGTCTACATTAAGGCTTTTTTCAAGCCCTTTCAGGACTTGAAAACTAAATAGGAACAGTGTTCTCCAAAGGAACCAGTAAGTTTGAGAGAGACAAGGCACAAAGTGTGACTGACCGTTCCAGAGAGCTCCTGCTCTGGGTAATATGGACCCTCAGGGAAGAGGTTCTATTCTGCAAAGAAGCAAAAGGCCAATTCACCTTGTTCATGGTCAAATAAAAGTGTTGGGATATCAATTGAGGTGTCTCAAGTCTTCTAAGCTAGTTCAGAGAATTGGTTGAAGGGTTACACAGACTGCTCATAGCCCCAGATGGCTGTACTCGGTTTCTGCAGTGTCTCTGAACAGGGTGTTACACATATATTGCAGGCAGGGGGCGGAGAGGATGAAGGGCATCATTATCAGTTCTCCAATGAAAGTCTTCTCCATGCTCTAATAAATGTTCTTCCAACATAAACCATGATTCTGCAATGGATCATGAAGGTCTCAACGGGGGCCATTTGTTTTTGCTGTCTTACACAACTGATTATTTTGGTTGAATGACTATCCTTTTTTTTTTTTTTTTAAATGAACAGAGAAGAACAATTTCTGCCTATTGAGCTGATTCTGCAACATGCAAACTTCTCTGCACACAAAAACAGGTGCCAGCAGCTGGTTCCCTATCTTGCTTGCAACATTGATCCATACTGTGAAGTCCAAAAAGGCAATCTCTTCCAGAGCTGCTTAAACACAGGGTAGGTGTGCAACCCCATGAGGTGATCCAAAGGCCTGTACTTGGGTTCAACCCTTTTGTCCCGGGGATGTCATAGTCTAACAGTAGCATCGATATTAAAACTACCTTTTATCTCTTACACACTCAGTATCCTCTAGGTATAAAATAGAATAAAAGTTATATCCAATTCTGAAATTAATTCTTCCCTTTGATTCCAGACATCACGTCTTGCTTCCCGAGAGACCAATAAAACTTACGCTTTAAGGACGACCAGAAAGCTGTATCCAATGCACATGATCCCCACCAGAAAATAGGAGAGGGGCAGCCTGAAATTCATCCATCCAATTGTTCGTTTATTGTCATAATAGCCATAAAAGAGGACGGAATATTGTGCCAAGCCCTAAAATCCAACAACAATGCTACTTAGCAGATGTTATGAAGAGCAACTCAAAGACAAAAGATAGACTTTTAAGAGAAACAACAAAATGGCATTAATTTTCAAACTTGAGAGTCGAGCCCTATTGTTTTTGCTTTATAGAGCAAATGTCTCAGCTGCTACATTGATTGGCAAGCATCTTGATTTACTCGAAATTCAGGGACTTCTAAATAGGCCAAATTTTTAACCAAATACAGGCTTGCTCAGCTGTGGAGCCATTACCGTGAAATGCCCATTGATTGAAACGTCAAAATACACTTCATAGTGCCATTAGATTTCCAATTTGAAGAGCTTGCTTAACATTTGGGGAGGATCTGAAACGTGCTTCCTCAAAGCATTGTGGTACATTTCCACTTCCAGTCACCTGAGCCACAGTTAGATTGCTTCTTCTCAAGCTACAGAGGTGGCGGCTCAGCTCATATGGAGCAAAGGTGAAGAGCAAGTGGATGCCATGGGAACCAACCTGCATAGCCTTGTAGGCATCAAGCTTATGAGAGCATTTTCCCACAGCAAGCATGTTTATTCATGCAATGCCATGCTCTCTCCTTACAATTGTCTGCCAGATCATTAGAATCGCCATCTCCCAAGGCTACCTGAGTGACCCTCTTTCTACTCAGAACATTGGCATATTCTGAAGCTCTTTCTTTTATCGTGGTCTTCATCTTTCTCGCCTCCACTTCACTGTGGTTTTCACTCTCAGCTGTGAAGCACGTTTCCTATACTACTACATATCCACTTTCCCAGCTTCCTTCTGACTTTATCTCTCTGGAAAAAAAACTTAAAATTTCTATGTTTTGTGAAGCGAGGCAGTAATCACTTGCCAGTGTGAGGCTTCCTCTGGGGATCAAGTGAGTCACCCTTGAACCTTAGAAAGTCCAACTAGCTCCCTTTAACATCATTTATACGCAGCCAGGGACCTTAAAGGCCACTATTGAAGAGGACAGGAGAAGTGGGGAGGAAGGGTAAGAGGAAGAGGAGGAAATCTCCTAGATGTCCATTCCCAGAGGAAGATTGAAGACAAGCCGTTTAGAGAATTGCCTTAAACGAAGATTATGCCTGGCTCAAAACAGAGGTCAGCAAAGATCTGGAATAGTTATTGCTTTTGACATTTGCAGCAAGTCTATGTTCTAATACTGTGTAATAATTGGCAGGGAAAAAAAAATCCAAAAAATCTCAGAAGAGCTCATGAGCTACCAGTAGGGTTGGGATGCAATGAGAGAAAAATTGAAGGGCTTCCCCACACCACACCTGCCTGTTGTCTGCATTTTTTCAGCTCAAGAAAAAAAAATCTGACCCAAAAGAAAATCTGGGACTAACTAATAGAAACCTAGGGGTTCCTGAGTGGCTCAGTTGGTTAAGCATCTGACTTTGGCTCAGGTCATGGTTCGAACCCAAGGTTCATGGGTTTGAGCCTCGTGTGGGGCTCTGTGCTGACAGCTCAGAGCCTGGAGCCTGCATTGGATTCTGTGTCTCCCTCTTTACTCTTTCCCCGCTTGCAGACTGTCTCTCTCTCAAAAATAAATAAACACTAAAACAAGTATTTTTAATAATAAAAAAAGAACTTCCTCAAATTGGGGAAGCAAATGGGCTAATCTCTGCCCAAGATAAGAAACCACTTAGAGAGGGACTGACCAACGGCCCAGGACCCAGAAATCAGGCCAGGAAAATAATCACTGGCAGGATCTCCACACCTAGTTCAATGGTAAAAGATGCCATCGTCTTTAAAATCAGCTTTAGCAATAATAAAGGTGACATGCTGACCTCCATTCAACACTTTGTCTTATTTCTGGTTAGCTCACAACCTGGTTAAAGAAGGTAGGGGTTATTATTTACCATGACTTTCCCACCCAGCAACGACTTAATAGCCCTATTACTACTTAGCAGACGAAGAAACTGAGCTTTATTATTTTTAATGTTTATTTATTTTTGAGTGACAGAGTGTAAAATGGGTGAGGGAAAGTGGAAGGGGGTGGCAGAGGATCCGAAGCGGGCTCTGCACTGGAAGCAGCGAGCCTGATGTGGGTGGGTCTTGAAATCACAATCCACGAGACCTTGACCCGAGCCGAAGTTGGACACTCAAGTGACTGAGCCACCCAAGCACCCCAAAAAACTGAGCTATAAAGAGGTGAAGTAACTTGTGCACACTCACATAAGCAGTAAGTGACAGTCTGACCTTGAACTGGGTCTGATTCCAATCCATGTACCTAATGACTCCTGTGCTGGCTTCTCCCACGCTTCGCCTCCCACCCCTTGTACCCTGCTAATGCCATACCTTCCCAGCAATACAAACAAGAAACCCTACCAACTTAGCAGGGCCTTGACCTACACCCTTGGATCGATCCATGGCGGTGCCAGGACTTCCAGGGAAGGACCTGAACACCCCTCCTGAAGACTTCAAAGGGCCTCACGTCCATGGACTTAAACATTACAACCTGACGTCTTTTTCTACTTCATAATGACAGTCCTGGGATTAAAAGTCCCCCTGAAAACATGAAAGGAGAAAGCAGATCGAAAACAAGTATCTGGTGAGCATGTTAGGTTAGGACAGTAGCTACTGGGGCAGCTGGCTCATCTGGTGTATGTCCCATTCAATGGCTGGCACTTCATAAATATTAGATGGCAAGCAAAAGGTGTAAGATTTGTACTTGGTGGGTTTTTTTTGAATACTGATTATTTCACAAAGGTTTCTTCCATTTGCCTATTACTACCTATGCAGCCAAGCATGTAAATGAAAGAGGCACTATTGAATAACACAATTTTAAAAAGCTTTTTCCAAGTCATCTTAGTAGCATATTGAAGGGTGACTTTAAACAGCCTTCCCCTGCCACCCCGTGCCCCCCCCCTCACTCCACACATCTTTCCCTTTCCCTTCAAACTCCAACGGCAGACATCTGGAAGTGACTAAAATAGCAATGACTCCTAGCCTAGCCAAAGTTCTATTCAGTTTCCATGTCAGCGCGCATGGCTTTCCCTGTGGGAGCACTCTCCCACCCCAAAATCTGTGACGGAGAAGCCACAGTCAGAGCCAAGTTCCAAATGAGCAGGAAACATTCCCATCCAACTCTGGGCTCTATGCTTGTACATCATCTATTAAGCTTCTAATTTCTGTTTGGATGCTGCAGCTGGTCTAGTTCATAGTCACCATCACAATTCCACAAGAGACAATGTTTTGATGGTCTCACTAAGAATCAACTCATGTATGTTTATCTAACTAACTTGGAGAATTTACTATTTCCTCAATACTATACATAGATGCAGTAAGATATCCCTAAAGGGGATTGCAGAATTCCCTAACGACATTCTGCAAGCAAAACATCCCCTTCGTAAGTATCTGTCACCTAAAGTTATATTAGAGCTCCAGCCCTTTGGTGTTTCTCATGACTACAAATACTCACTGGGAAACATGACATTCCATCCTAGGGATGGTAAATGAGTTTCATCGGCCTTCGCAACTCTTTTTAGTTTTGTAGTAACTGTCAAACCACTAGTATGTAAACAAACAAACAAACAAGAAAAAAGAAAACATCAACAACAACAACAACGAAATCTTGAAGTCAAAACTAGTGGGAAGGGAAGATACGATTTCTGACCATGCCTGCTCAGGACATAAGGGAGAGTAGCACCAGATGTGTGGGGTGTATTTCTACCATGCCTTGTATCATTACCAGGCATTTACACTTCAGTGGTAAAGTTGCAAGTATGGGGGTGTCTGGGTGGCCCAGTCGGTTGAGCATCCTCCTCTTGGTTTCGGCTCAGGTTGTGATCTCACAGTTTGTAGGTTCGAGCCCCAAGTAGGGCTCCATACTGATGGTGCCAAGCCGGCTTGGGATTCTGTCTGTCTCTCCCTCCTTCTCTCTCTCTCTCTCTGCCCTGTCCATGCTTGTGCTCTCTCTCAAAAATAAATAAATAAACTTTAAAAATAAGTTGCAAGTATGGATGAAAGGTAGGGCATGGCATCACTTGATTATCTGGTAAAGTGGACAGAAGCAAGCAGACTGCTAACAACACCAAAAGCAAACTTCTACTGACTTCACAAGGACGGCAGCCAGCCTGGCACCCAGGTGAGACCGGGCCCACGACCTCCCTCCTTCCCTCCGCCCAGACTCACCAAGCTTCCACCTCATGCTTTGCTTGCCACTGAGTTTCCTTTCTTTTTGCTACAACCCTGATCTACAGAGATGAAACTGACACTCCAGCACTATTAGCCAGGGAGCATGTAGATTACAAAGAGGAAGTTGGGCTGAGGCTTAGCGGAACTTCTAGTTTTCAGTAGTTGGAATTCACTTCCTGTCCCAGGACTATAGTCTGTGACCTCTGGTCCTCAAAAAGCCTGGAAGCAGACAGTTAATTTTGGTGCCCGTTCATATATTAGTGCCCTTGCCCTTCTGCCTCCTTCACAGACAGCTGACCTTATTGGTACCGCATTCCCCTTTCTAGCCTGTGGATACCATGCTGTCACTGCTCAGGTTCCCTCTTCTTCTTTTATTGTCTCTCCATGAAATGGGCATTCTTGTGAGTTAAGTACCCTGAATAGGCATTTAAGGAAAGACACACTTAAAAATTTTTTTAATGTCTTATTTATTTTTGAGAGAGAGAGAGAGAGACAGTGTGAGCAGGGGAGGATCAGAGAGAGAGGGAGACACAGAATCTGAAGCAGGCTCCAGGCTCTGAGCTAGCAGGGGAGGGTCAGAGAGAGAGGGAGATACAGAATCCAAAGCAGGCTCCAGGCTCTGAGCTGTCGGCACAGAGCCCGACGCGGGGCTCGAACCCACAAACCATGAGATCATGACCTGAGCCAAAGTCGGATGCTTAACCAACTGAGCCACCCAAGCACCCCAGGAAAGACATATTTATTAAACATCTCCCATGTGCTGGGCATTGTGCTAGTGCTTTACACACAGGATCTCATTTATTTTTTCATACCCACCTGCTAGTTAGACATTAATACTACTATCTGACACATG